GATTGGGCCCGAACAATTATCAGCCCAATACAATATTCCATAAGGGAAAAGAAAAAAGGGATCTATCGCATGCAAGTTATAACCCACACGCCACGCTAAATAAACAAATTATCATGCTATGATAAAATATAATCATGCTAAAAAATTAAAACAATCCTTCCCAAGGGCGATAAGGTAAAATATGCCGAGCAACATGCCATGCCGTTATCTCGCACCCAACCACGCTACAAGCCTAGGTGGGCCCAAGCCACTCAAAAAAGACCCGGGGCTTGCTTGAGTGGGTTGTGGCATGGATGGTGATAAATCAACATGAGGCCCATTGATGGACCAAGAAATGGAAAGTCTCGGGTTGCTTGGGAGCCTCGAGACTCAGGCCCATTTCTTAGGCCCAAACATGTGGGTAGGCACAAGAGAGAAAAAATAGCCCAAAAGCCCAAGCAAAATAACCTAGCCAAGAGATAACCCAACCAAAAATAATAACAAACCCAAATCAAGCCCAATAAGCCCATTCGCTTAAGAAAGCCATCTTGGCCCTTAGAAAAACCCAAAAAGGCCCACAAGAGCTTCAGCCTTTTTTTTGAAAAACAGAGAACACGTGAAGGAGTAGATGGCAGGCTCCTTAAGTAAGCTGCTGGAAACCAGTCCCAAGCCAGAGACATCCAAAGAACCGATGAATACCATCCTGCATGCTGTCAGAAGCATCCCTTGGACCAGCATACATTTGCACCTCCTTTCCTTCATCAGATTCAGCCAAAGAAGAAGAAAGAAAAGGAAGAAAAACAGCAAACTAAGAGTGGAAGCCCTCACTGCGTAGCCGCGGGAAAGAGGGATGTTGAGCCCCAAAATCTCCTAAATTCATGAAGATAGACAGAAGCCATCTTTGCCAAGAAAGGGAAGTCAGAGAAGGGGAGGAGAAAGGAAGAAAATCTCAGCCAAAGTAAGAAGGAGCCATTAGGGTTTTTTTTTTTTTTTTTTTTTTTTTTTTTTTTTTTTTTTTTTTTTTTTTTTTTTTTTTTTTTTTTTTTTTTTTTTTTTTTTTTTTTTTTTTTTTTTTTTTTTTTTTTTTTTTTTTTTTTTTTTTTTTTTTTTTTTTTTTTTTTTTTTTTTTTTTTTTTTTTTTTTTTTTTTTTTTTTTTTTTTTTTTTTTTTTTTTTTTTTTTTTTTTTTTTTTTTTTTTTTTTTTTTTTTTTTTTTTTTTTTTTTTTTTTTTTTTTTTTTTTTTTTTTTTTTTTTTTTTTTTTTTTTTTTTTTTTTTTTTTTTTTTTTTTTTTTTTTTTTTTTTTTTTTTTTTTTTTTTTTTTTTTTTTTTTTTTTTTTTTTTTTTTTTTTTTTTTTTTTTTTTTTTTAAAAAATTGAGCCTTCCCCTACCCAACAAACACAACTCACAACCTGCAGAGAGCAAGCTTTTCTCTCTATCTTGCAAAACTTAGATCCGTGCACTGTTCATCTTCTTCTCCAATTTGTTCTTCTGGTAGCTGCTGGAAGAACCCTGCCTCTCTTTTTCTTTTTCTCTAGTCAAAATCCCTCACAAAAAATACCTCATTCCTTACTTAAACACTTTCATTTATCATAAACCAAGCCTAATTTCTCTCTTAGTGCTAAACCCATGCTGGTTTTGCTCTCCATGCCTCATGCCACTCATGCTGAGTCTAAAAACCACCTGTAAGCATGCCAAAATTATCTGTAAGTTACTATTATCCTCATTGGTGAAGATTATCCAAAATATCTCCTAAGGTTCCGCTTCCCTTTCGAGGTATTTTGGGGCTTAATTTTCGAACCCAAACGAAAAGGGGCAATCTCCTCAGTCCACCTTTTGCAGCAGCCCAGCCCGTTAGCTGCAGGAAGAAAAAGTCCCCTACACACACCAAATATGAAAACTTGATTTTATGGGATTAGTATGAAGTATATATTGACTTAATGAGCCATCATTTTTAGCCTAAATCGTATTTTGCACTAAAACCGAATTTTCATATTTTGATTTGGTAGAAATTTGATTTTCTAGTATTTTATTTGAATCCAAATGGGGAGCACTTCCTTATTTAAATTTTAAACTTAAGTAAATGGAGTAATATAAAAAGAAATGAAAGCAAAATGACAGAAATTTACTTAAATGCTGAAAATGGAAATAAGGTAATTTGTACACCTGGAGTGCACCACCACCAGCTAAGCAAGTGGGCAATTTGAAACACCTATAATAGTTTTTATGACGAGGGGAGGTGCTTAATTGGTCCTCCATTGTGTGGTAGGATCACTACTATAAAAATTGAAATAGACAACAGGAATCCACCGTCATTTGGAAATGTTTTTAAATCGTTGTGAAATCAACCGCCATCTTTTGATACATAAAACAACGACGACAAAAAACCACCGTCGTTAAGACATACAACATCATACCAAAATAAAAACCGACGTCTAATTACTTTATAAACAACAAAAAAGGAAAACTTCGACAACCTTAGACGACGGTTTTAGTAAAATAGGGACGTCTAAAGGGTGTTACATGTGAAGAACTACATACACGCTGACGTAAAAAAGTTACCAACGTCTCCATTTGAAAAAATACCATCGTGTAAAATGTCAAAACCATCGTTGTTAATATATACTACGTTTACTAAATAAAAAAAAGGCTTATTATCACAAAAAGTCCCTGAGATTTGCGAAACTATCAGAGATGCGTGTTTTTTTTTTTTTTTTTTTTTTTTTTTTTTTTTTTTTTTTTTTTTTTTTCCTTAAGGTTATTAAGTGTCCTCACAAATAGTCATTGCCGTTAGATTCTGTCAAAAAATCTGTTCAGTTGATGATGTGGCACATATGTGGGTCCCACATATCCAATAATATGGCGCCACGTGGATTAAATAAAAAATACATTTTAAAAAATAATTTCAAATTATAAACCAAAAAAAAAAAAAAAAAAAAAACCCCATATCTAGCCTCCTCCATGTCCCCAACCTGCTATCCCAAAATCAACTGCCAACCCAAACCTTGATATTCCAAGAACCTCACCCATTGCACGTCTAATCTCCACCGCCAAAGACCAAAATTGGATGGTGGTTAGTGAAGGCCAAATGAGTGGGTTGGGTGGGCTTAGTGGTTGTTTGGGTTTGCTTGGAGGAGAGGGGGGTGGAGTTTAGGTTGGTTGCTGTCAAATAAAGAGAGCATGGAAGAGAGACAAAAAGGGAGAGAAAAGGAGGAGGGCGGGACAGTGGTGCGGAGGGTGGGTGAGGATAGGTGCGGCTGTTGGAGATCTGGGAGGGAGAGAAAGAGGAGATGTGGGTGGGAGGGAGGAGAAAAAGGGGGAAGGGAGAATGATGGGGGTTGGAGTTTAGTGCAATGGAGAAGATGACGGTGATTTTGTTTTTGTTTTTTTTATTTTTAATATGTTTTCTTTTCTTCTAAGTTTGTTTAAATTTTTTATAAGTTTCAAATGTTTATTTTATTTAATCCACGTGGCGTCATATTATTGGATATGTGGGACCCATATATGTGCCACATCATCAACTTAACAGACTTTTTGACGGAATCTAACGGCAATGACTATTTGTGAGGACACTTATTAACCTTAAGGACCATAAATGACCAAAAAAAACATAAAGGACGCAATCTGATAGTTTTGCAAACCTCAGGGACGTTTTGTGATAATAAGCCTAAAAAAAATGACTTCTAAAATCTAAAAAAAAAGCAGCAAAAAAAAAAAAAACGACGACGCTTAGACGAGAAAAGAAAAGAACAGACTAAAAAGCATTACATGTCAAGAATCATATCGTAGCCGACATAAAATGCATTAACCACAACACATATGTAGAATGACCGATGCTCCATGTCGCCACCCAAGAAAAAACGCCTTGTTAAAGTTTTTCCTGGCTGTTTTTTGCGAGAACTGACGTTTAAATGATAAAAAAAAAGTCAATTGGACAATGTTAGATGACGCTTTTTAAAACACTGACGTCTGAATAATTTGACATGGCACAATTTTATTACACACCGATGTAACAAACCCTAACCATGACCCAATTGTTTACCCACAATTGTTAAAAATGATTTTCACAGCATGAGCAGGAAATAAAACGCCGTTGATCAGAGTTTGAACGACGGTTAATGTAAATTAAAGGTCGTAGTTAATCTTTTCACTACGTCCCTAGAATACAATTTGTCAATGTTGTTAATTTAGTTACCACGTCGGTTTTTGTATAGGACATGATTATTTTCCATCGTGTTATTCTTAAATCTCTGACATGCATCATTTTCATGACCGTCGTTGTTGTTAATATTTATTTGCCGCATGTAATTTAATTTTAATTAACCGAAGTGTTTTCTTTTTCAAATGGCGGTTTTTATTTCTTTATGGTATTTTGCATTGTCATTCCACGTCGTTTGTAAAAATATGACGTTGGTTATGTTTTAGATGTTTGTTTTTGCGATTTGTTAACTGGACTGTCGTATTTTACACCTTTAACCCAGTATTTTTAATTTTGGATTTGTCGTGCCCAAAGCTTGCATAATGAAAATGTGATCAGAATAATGTCAAACATTGAAATTTATTGCAAAATTAATGTCATACAGAGCTATTAATTAATGTCATACAATTAACTGCATAACTAATGTCATACATTACAACAATCAATCAATCTATATATCTTCACACCCATCTCTAATATTTACACTCCCAAACTCACCCACTAGGTCATTAAATGTGTCAACATTTGGTATCCCTCTAGTAAATGGCTCACACTTAATTCTAATATCACATAGCATATCATCACCAATGATATCATTATATTCTATATCATCACCAATGATATCATTATATTCTCTATTAGGCATTGATAACACTATCGACCAACCAAGATGCATTGGGTCGTCAACAAAAAATACTTATTTGACTTGAGAAGCCATAAAAAATTGGTCATTTCTATGTCCAATTTTACTCAGATCTACAAGGGTAAATCCAAGTTCCTTAACTATAAGGCCCAAAGTGTTATCTATCCAATCACATCTAAAGATTAGGATTCTAAACTTTTGGTAGTCAAGGTCCCAAATTTCTTGAATGACACCATAATATTGGAGACAATAGGGTTTTTAACCTTGACACTAGCAGCTTGCATAGTATGTGCAAGTAAATAAACTCCACTATTTTGCATAGTTCGCACATCATTTTGTGCCTTGGTGTTAAATTTAACACCATTAATAAAATAGCTCCTATATGATGGCACTGCCATGCTTGGACCAGCTACTAGCCACCTCAAATTTTCTGATATGCCATTATTCTCTTCCCCATTAAGTTCACTTTGAACCTGCAAATTAATTATATATCTTAATTCAATCTAACATAGAAAGAAGAAAATTAAAAGTTCAATATGTTATTCAATAACATATACCTCAAAGCATAATCATTGAATGAAAATGCTATTGTGCTTATCTTGCAACCACTTTGTTCTCTTTCTAAATTTTGGATAAGTGGTCTTGATGTCGATCATATGTTCCCTACATTGACATGAAAAAAAAATCAAGCATTACGGTCCCTTGTATATATGATAAATAAGGAATAATTTAAAATGGCTACTTAAAGAATAAAACTCATACTCGATATAAGGTAAGACTTCCTCCGTATTCTCCAAGATATATAGATGTGTCTGGTTCAACAGATCCCGATTAACTAAGCTCATTGCGCAACCTGATAATGGCTTTGAAACTCCCATCTTTTGGCTTGATGGCACTCCAACTGTACTATCAGATAAATGCTTGGTGCAAAACTATACAGCTTCTTCAGCTATATACCGCCCAGCAATGCAACCTTCGAGACGAGTACGATTCTGAACATAGCTCTTTTAGCACTTTCATGTATCTTTCAAACATATACATCCATCTAAATTAAACTGGCCCACATAGATGAACTTCTCTGACAAGATGTACAACTAGATGAACCATGATATCAAAGAAGGAAAGGGGAAAGTATTTCTCAAGCAAACACAAAGTAAGTATTACATCTTCTTCCAACTTATCTAGCTTGCAAACATCTACTGTCTTTACACATATAGCATTGAAGTAGAAGAACAATTGAGTTATTGCATACCTTGCAGGCTTCTCCAAAACTAGACAAATTGCCACAGGGAGCAATTGCTGCATCAAGGTATGACAATCATGATATTTAAGGCCAAGAAGTCTTGAATCTTTTAAAGATACAAGATTTTTTATATTTGAAGAATAACCTTCAAGGACCTTCATACCATAGAAAGAATTGCAAACCGCTCTCTTCTCTGCTCTTGAAAAATTCCAAGGCCCTAAAGGCAAGCGAGTACGTCTCTCTCCATACTCGGGTTGCAAATCAGTTTTGACCCCTATGTTCAATAAATGTAACTAAGTAGTAATCCCATCTTTATTTTTTCCAGGGATCTCTAGCAATGTATCAATGATACTATCACAAACATTCTTCTCAATGTGCATAACATTTAGGACATGCCTCACTGGAAGGTATTTTTAATACTCGAGATTAAAGAATTTTGATTTCTTTTTTCAACAAATTCTGTCACCGTCATTCTCACCAACACTTCCCCCATTTTTGAAGCCCCATGTTTAATTAATACCTTCAACCATCTATAGCACTTATTCTCCGGTTAATGGCTCGGGAGGCATGCCATATTCAGGTTTCCCATTAAAAGCCACATGTTGCCTCCGATATAGATGATATGTTGGTAACCATTTTCTATGCTTGATGTAACAAATTTTGTGGCCATTTTCAACCTATGACTAGGTGTATCATCACCACATATTGGACAAGCTTTATATCCTTTAACGACACAACTAGATAAGTTTCCATAGGTAGGAAAATTATTAATTGTCCACAGTAATACACCTCTGAATGTAAAATATTCTACTATGTGTGCATCATAAACTCTTTTAATCTCATCCCACAGAGATTTTAAATCGTCAATCAAAGGCTCTAAGTAGACGTCTATATCATTTCCGGGTTGTTTAGGATCGGAAATCAATAAGGTCAACATCATGAACTTCCGTTTCATGCATAGCCATGGTGGGAGATTATATGTAACTAAGATAACTGTCCAACAACTGTATCTGCTACTTAAAGAACTATGGGGATTGAATCCATCAGATGAGAGAGCCAATCTCAAGTTTCTCAACTATTTACCAAACTCGGGCCCTTCATCATCAACAAGTTTCCAAGACGGGGAATTCGCTGGATGAGACATATAACCGTCAACTGATTTTCTATCAGCATGCCAAATCAAACTGTTAGCTGTCTTACGTGATTGAAACATCCTTTTAAACCTTGGAATTGGCGAAAAATACCACACCACCTTTGCTGGCACACCCTTTTTCAAGATTGAATCTTTGCCTTCTACCTTGAGATACCACAAGTATGACAATTAGTTGAATCTTTATAATCCTTCCTATACAAGATGCAGTCATTGGGGCATGCGTGGATTTTCTCATAACTCATCCCTAATAGCAGACAAAGTCTTTTTTCGTAAAACATACATCACTCATCTCATGTTTTGCTTTCAAATTATATAACTTCACCAAAGCCGACAATTTCGTGTACTTATTGCAACTAGGGTACAAGGGTTGATCTCCATCCCCAATCACATTGGCAAACTCAGAAGGATCAGATCCAATATTGCCTAAATCATTATCATCCGTCCCTAATTCTTCAAAAACAAAACTGAACCTATTTTGCTCATCTTCTTCCCCATTTCTACTAGCAGTAGTAGTCCATTCCCAAGGTTCTCCATGCCATGTCCTAATTTTATAGCTTTGGTCAATTCCATTAAAGTATAAGGGGTCCCTTATAATTCCATCCTCAAACAATCGAATATTTCCACACTTAACACATGGACAATGAATATGAGTTTTATTTCCAAGATTTTCTACAGCAAAATTCAAAAATCCTTCCACGCCTAACTCATATGCCTTCGATCTTCTATCCGCATGCATCCATGACTTATCCATCTCCCACACTATGCAGTCATATATATAATAAAGTGAAAAGACCAGCAATGACACACCACCATATTCACAACCTATGGTTGTACTCGCATTTTACCTTCTTTGTCATTGCTCAGAATGCATAGCCTTAAATTCTACGGATAACATTGAAGCTACAAAGGTATCCCATTGTGATTTCTCTATGAAGTTATATAGTTGATGGGGTTCTTTTAACTTCTCCTTGTCATTTATGAACGGAAGGATGAACTGCCTTGTTAAGGTAGACTTGAAATCCTTCCATTTTTTGGCAGCATACGATAGCACCATCTTCTTGCCCCCTTGCCCAACAACATAAGCCATTTCAATAGCTTCCCAAATCTGCTCCTTCAGGTCCTTGGGCAATTGAGTCCATTTCTTGTCCACAAGAGGGACTCTGGTGCGCGCCAAAACACCAATGTAAGATTGCATCTCACCAGCAGCCTTGCCATGTGGTCTACCCCTTTTATTATACTCAACAACGGGTTTAATCTTCTAGATTTTCCTCTTCACAACACGGCTTATTGTGTTGATACCACGAGTCGATTTTGGCTCCTCATCAAATGATGCTGAGTTAGGGTCTTTCTCATAGGTTGAAGTAAATCTCATCTTCTTCGTGGGATTGCTTTGAACTGATTTGGCCTCACTCATTTGAGCCTTTGAAACTACAAGGTCCTTGCTTTGACCTTTTGATACTTGAGCCTTCTTACTTTGAGATTTCGAAACCATGTTTATAGAGAAATTAAACCTACAAGTGAAACAACGACGGTTCATTAAAAATATTGACATAATATTATAAAGAAGACATCGGTAGAAAAACACAACCGTCGTAAAAAAAAAAAAAAAAAAACAAAAAAAAAAAAAAAAAAAAAAAAAAAAAAAAAAAAAATCTTATTAAGAGGTGAAACCAAAAAAATCGCTCAGTTCTCTCTCTTCCCACAATCGTTTTGTATGTCAATTAGAAGACGATTTTACCTTGTTTCTATCGTATTAATTATCACACCATGATGGTTATTAACTACCGTTGTGCTTTTTGCAATAGCACAGATTTAATTACCGTCGTGGTGTTACAATTAATACGACATAAATAAGACAAGGCTGTCGTCTTCACACGACATGAGAGTGAGGGACTAGTGAATTTAAAATTAAAATCAATGGAATTGAGATTTCCGTCATTTTGAAAACTTTCCAAACTCTTAAAAAAAAACTTCAAATGGTTTTGAAAAAAAAAAAAAAAAAAAAAAAAAAAAAAAAAAAAAAAAAAGAGAAGAAAGAACTTTGAAAGACCTTGCAAGGAAAGTGTTCTTCAAATGTTTAAACTTAAGGAGATTTGGAGACGAAGATGAGGAAGATGACCAGATTCAGACACGCCGCTTTTGGGAATTGAGAGAGAACTTAAAATATTTTATCGATTAGAGAGAACGTAAAACTTTAGGTCAGGTGACAAAAAATTTTATATATCATCCCAAAGTTCAATAACACACTATGTTGTTAAAACGATGAAAAAGTGGTAGAAACCAATGTGGTTAATAATAAAGCCAAACGACTTTTGGAATTCAGAAATCGATGTGGTTATTTACGTTTTACACGACAAGAGTTCACTTTTGATGCCCTGATATTATAAGTTACAACGTCGTTTGTTTATAGAGAACCGTCGTGGTTGGTTTTAAAAGTTAACGACTTTTAGTTTACGAAACTGATGTGGTTATTTAGATTTACACGACAGTAATTTACTTTTACTGACATGGTATACTTTTAATCTGGCGCTATTTACTACTACACCACTGTGGATTTTTAATATTAGACGACACAATATATAAAAGGACCGCCATGGTTAGTAAAGATTATTTGTATAAATTGGGTCTTTTCATGCATCCTTTCACTTTCAATTTTCACTTAGGGTTCCAACTTATTTTGGCCCTTGGCTGCCGTCCTCACTTCAGGCTTGTCTCTCTCTCTCACCTCTCTGGAGGCAGTAGTTTGGATGTTGATGTGTATGTGGGTTTTTGTATTTGAAAGACACCAACACACATACATCATCAACTTCTAAAAAAATTTCTTTCTCAAAGCTTGCCGTTGTCAAATTGTAGACACAAATTTTTTGGATTTTGATGCGTATGTGTTTTTGTGTATGTCAAAGACACAAAAATACCTACGTCATCAACGTCTAAAATATTGTCTTTCTCTAAAATTGGTGGTTTGATTATGATGAGGAACATAGCTCCCACTGGTAAGATTTCATATCTCTTGGGATCTCATTTTAATTTCTCTATGACAACGGTTTTCTATATAAACCGTCGTGGTTTTGTACAATTCTTGTCATTTTGTTTATCTACCGTCGTAGGCTACCAAAATCCAAGAAAGAAATCTTAAAAGAAATAAAATTTAAGATGACGGTTTACTGATAGGGTCAGTCATATGAAATGAATTAATACGAAGGTACTTTTCACTTAATGACGTGGTAAATTAATATTCTATGAAGCAAATTGAATAAAACCGAAGCCCCATAAATTAAATCTAACAAAGCAATACAAATTTAAGACGACGGTTCTCAGAAAGAACAGTCGTATGAAATGAATAGACGTCGGTGTATTTCAATTAACGACTTGGGAATATAATGTTAACGTTGCTATAACTAAAGAAACCGACGTGGTTAGTTGAAACAACCCCCGATATATTATAAGTAACCACCCTAGTATGTCTTTAAAATGATGCTAGGATAGTAGAAACCGTCATGGATTTTAAATATTAGATGGCGCAAATTATAAAAGTACTGCCGTGTGGTTATAAAGATTATTTGTATAAATTTGGTCTTTTCATGCGTTCTTTCACTTGCAGTTTTCATTTAGAGTTCCAACTTGAAACAAAGTTGCATTCTTCTGGCCCTTTGCGGCCAAATTTTTAGTTCAGACTCTTGGCTCTCTCTCACCTCTCTGGGGGCAATAATTTGGAAGTTAACGATGTTTGTGTTTAGGTGTATCTCAAAGACACAAAAACACACACATCGTTAACTTTCAAAAAAATTTCTTAATCAAATGTTCTTTCTCAAAAAATTGTCTTTCTCAAAGCTTGCATCATCAGTTTGGATATAGAGGCAAATATTTTGGATTTTGATGCTTATGTGCCCTTGTGTATCTCAAAGACACAAAGACACATACGTCATTAACGTCTAAAATATTGTCTTTCTAACATTGGTGGTTCGATTATGATGAGGAACATAGCTCCCACTGGTAAGATTTCATATCTTTTGGGATCTTATTTTAATTTCTCTCTGACGACGGTTTTTCCATATAAACCGTCACGGTTTTTCTCAATTCTTGTCATTTTGGTGATCTACCGTCATAGGCTACCTAAATCCAAGAAATAAAATCTTAAAAGGAAATAAAAATTAAGACAACGGTTTACAGATAAGGGCAGTCGTATTAATTGAATAAATACAACGGTACTTTTCACTTCACGACTTGGTAAAATAATATTATACGACACTACTACATTTTACTATTTGCGCGACGAAAGTTTGTGCGACAAAGGAAAATTCGTCGCGGAAAAGGCACTATAGCGACGGGAAAAATTATTCGTCGCGCAAAGAACTGGAAACTTGCGCGACGAACATTTCAGTAGCGCAAAGATCGTTCACACGACAAACAACATGAGTCGTCGCGCAAAGTGGGGAAGAAAAACGCCGGGGTTTTTTTTTGGTGCCAAACATTTGTGCGACGACAGAGTTGGTAGCGCTAAGAACCTTTGCGCGACAAATTAATTTCTTCGTCGCGCAAAGTATGGAACGGAAAACAAGGTGGTATTTTTTTTCGCCAAATATTTGCGCAACGATTTTACTTTCGTCGCGTAAAGAAGGAGGGAAAATGGCGCCAAATACTTGCGCGACGGACGTTTGGTTCGTCGCGCAAGGTTTGATGTCAGCACTATCTTGTGCGATGGAAAGTTTCGCTTGTGCGACACCTTTACAAGTTTGCGCAACGAAGTTTTGCGCGACGCCAAATATTTTCCGTCACGCAAAAACCTGATTTCTTGAGCAATGAAAACGTTATTCATTGCGCAAAATCCTTCTTATACATATCTGCAATCTGCCATTGCAGAGGCAGATTGCTCCATTTTTTTGCCATTTCGATTTTTCTTCTATCTGTGCTGCTGCCTCTGCTAAGAATTCAATACACTCATTGGGTAAGTATTATTTGTCATTTGTTTAAAATTATTAATGTAAATTCGTACTAACGGTATTAATTTTTTTATTATTATAGATATTTGTAAATTGCGATTGTGGAGAACGATTGAGAAGGTATTTCATTCATTTTATATTAAATTCATTACATTATGTTGAACGTAGTTTGTTATATTTATATATTTTGTTGTTGAATTATATTTATATTATGTTGTTAAATTGTGCGTGACGTAGCACATTGTGTTGTGATGTACGAACTTAATTGAAATTAACTTCGTACTTTTATTATAATTTTTTAGTAACACTTAGTTTCCCGTTCGAGATTAGTTGGATTTCGTGCATGGATGCGTAAAGCATGACTCCAGTCCAATTAATTCTTGAATTGTCCCATTATTTGGACAGTTTGGTAATGCATAGTGTTGTCACGTAATCTACGGCTACAGGATTAGATTTCGATTGTGAAGATTTCGGTGTCATCTCGGTACGTTCTTCGGGTGGTACGTAGGTATTTATACCTATGCCCACCTAAAGAACTGTATCGAGATGTTGCCGAAATTTATCCACGTCGAAATCTAATCTCATGTAGCCGTAGGTTACGTGACAGGACTATGCATTCCCGAATGGGATAGGGCCCTTACCGAAGGCATAAGGTGACATTATAACTTCGTATGAAGTTGTTGTGATACAGTGTTGTGATTGTGGTTTCAAGAATCATGAGCAGAAGGTGGATACAGAACCCAAATAGATGCGCAGACGAATACTTGGGTGGAATCGAGGATTTTATTGAGTTTGCACGTAGACATAACCCGGGTGCAACTGGAATCCGTTGTCCTTGTAGAAGGTGTAATAGCACGTTGTGGGAGACAATTGAAAATGTTGGCTTTCATTTAGTAAGGAATGGAATGATTGAGACATATAGCATTTGGAACCTTCACGGGGAACAATTAGACAATGCTTCATCTTCAAATGCCACAAGGGTAGACACTATTGAACCTATTGTGGATCCTAATGAACAAGTCATGGATATTATAAATGATGTTTTTCCATTTGTATCGACCAACATCAATCAGGAAGGGGAAGATAACGTGCCTACCCCAATGGACAGTGCAGAGTTTGAACAATATGAACAACTGTTAAAAAGTGCCAACCAAGAGTTATACCCAGGGTGAGAGAGTTTTTCCGTTCTTACGGCCATTGTGGAGCTAATGCACGGAAAAATAAAGTATCATATGTCGAACCTGTGTTTCGATTACTTTTTGGGCGTTTTCAAGAGAATGCTTCTGACGGACAATTGTTTGCCCAAAGACCATAGACAAGCGCAAAAGGTGTTGAATGGTCTTGGATTGGGTTATGAAAAAATTCATGCTTGCAAAAACAATTGCATGTTATTCTACAAAGAGTATGAAACATTGGATACATGCCCTATATGCAAAGAGTCGAGGTTCAAGATGACATCTCAGAATAGGACGACTAAGATCCCACAGAAAGTCATGCGTTATCTGCCCTTGAAACCTAGGCTACAACGATTGTATATGTCGACTCATACTACCACAGACATGAGATGGCATAAGGAGAAACGGGTAGACGACGATGTGATGCGGTATCCTGCAGATGGGGAAGCATGGAAAGAGTTCGATCGAACGTTCCCCGACTTTGCTGCTAATCCTTGAAATGTTAGATTGGGACTTGGCCGATTTTCGTATTTCCATATAATTTGCCGCCTTGGAAATGCATGAAAAAAGAGTACATGATGATGACTATTTTGATAACTGAGGATCCTGGCAGGTCAATCGATGTTTACTTACGGCTATTGGTTGATGAGCTCAAGGATTTATGGACAAACGGTGTGCGCACATACGATAAAGCCACTGGGAAGATGTTCACTTTGCGGGCAGCAGTGATGTGGACTGTAAATGATTTTCCCGCATATGCAATGGTTTCTGGGTGGAGCACAAAGGGTTATATGGCATGCCCTCTATGCAAGGAAAATGTAACTTCTGGTTGGCACGCGGGAAAAGTTTGTTATCTTGGTCATCGAAGATGGTTGACATGGGACCACAAGTGGCGGGAAAAGGATAAAGAGTTTGACGGGAACACAAAGCATCGCCTCAGACCTAGAGAATGGTCCGGTGATGAGATCTTGGAACAGCTAAACCGTTTGGATTTTTCTTCGTTCGGGAAAACAGTTACTCAGACTAGACCTTCTACACATTTGAACTGGACGCACAAGTCTATGTTTTTTGAGCTCCCATATTGGTCGAAACTAAAATTGAGGCACAATCTCGACGTTATGCATGTTGAGAAAAATGTCTTTGACACATTGCTGGGCACGATTCTAGATATCGAGGGTAAGACAAAGGACACGATCAAAGCTCGTCTTGATTTGGAAAGAATGGGCATACGAAGAGGTTTATGGATGAACAGGGACGGTGATAAAGCTAGAAGGGATCTGGCATTTTTTGCCATGAAACCGAATGACAAAAAAGATTTTCTACAGTTTGTATCGTCGGTAAAGTTTCCGATGGGTATGCTTCTAATATCGCGCGTTGCGTGAATGTTGACGGGGGTAAATTTACTGGACTGAAGAGCCATGACTGCCATGTGTTTATGCAACGCCTACTTCCTGTGGGTGTTCGACACCTTTTGCCAGAAGATGTAGTGAAACCAATCATGTTGTTGTCCAGATTTTTTTCCCAACTGACGGCAAAAACATTGCGAAAGACAGACATTAATCAGTTGCGCCATGACATTGTCCAAGTCCTATGCAAGTTCGAGATGATATTCCCTCCAGCTTTCTTCACAAGTATGATCCACGTGATGGTTCATTTGTCAGAAGAGGCATTGCTCGCTAGTCCTGTAAACTATCGCTGGATGTATCCAATAGAAAGGTATATAATCCTCATCTTTGTTTATGCATCCTTATCTTACGGTCGCTAATTTGTATCGTTTGTTTTTATTTTGCCAGGCTTCTCGGAGAGTTGAAAAAAACTGTACGCAACAGGGCAAAACCCGAAGGATCAATTATAGAGGCTTGGGTTCAATATGAGTCGCTTACTTTCTGTGGAATGTATTTAAAAGATGTGGACACGGCTTTCAATCGTCCTCAGCGCAATAATGATGGAGGTATGAGAAATGAGAAACTTTCTGTTTTCGCCCAAAGCGCAAGACCCTTTGGAGATCCAGTACGAGGAGAGTCGTTTTCCAGAAATGACATGGAGGTAGCGCATTGGTTCGTACTTAACAATTGTGATGAGATAATGTCATACTTAGATGAGCATGAAGAGATGATGAAGCGAGAACATCCATCACATTTGTATGCCAAGAAACACCGTGATTTGTTTCCAAAATGGTTTTTGGAATATGTAAGTTATAAGTGTTTTGTATTTGTTATATATATATATATTGTGTATTATTTAATGTTATCAAACTAACATGTGAATTCATTTGTATAATATTAGGTGAATAAATTGAAATCATCGAATTCACCCTCTTACAGTGAAGAGTTATATAACTTGGCGTTCGGCCCGATTCACACTGAATTATTCTCGGGTTGCCATGTTAATGGCGTCAAATTTTTGGGGACTGCATGAGATGACAAGTTGTGTACGCAAAACAGCGGTGTCCATGTCCCAGGTGGTGGCGAAAGTACTGACATTGATTTCTATGGCAAACTCACAAAGACCAATACCAAGTGATCATGTTTAAGTGTTGATGGTTTGATACAAACCCAAATAGGCAGGGAAGTGTTAAAATAGACCATGGTTTACTATCAGTGAACATTAACAGAACTTGGTATGATGACGACCCTTACATTTTGGCAAACATGGCAACACAGATTGTGTATCTAGATGACCCTAAAGCCAGAAGCGGTTGGAAAGTTGCTCAGCAGATGGATCAGAGGAACGTGTATGATATACCAGAACTAGACCCAACTGACAATGACGTTGACAACGTCACTGACCAACGGTTGGAATCTTCCATGGAAACTGATGCAGAAACACTTTGAGATACAGATGTTATACAAGAACCGTTTCAGCTTCAAGGAGTGTCTTCAATCGAAATACCGATTCAGTCAATTACAATTGACCTCGGTGATCTTCCGTGCTACGAAGTTCCAGTGGGCCCGAACAACGAAAGTGATGAGGAGGAGGATTGGGAGACCGAAACTGATGATAGCAAGGATAACAAAAGTTATTATAGTTCAGATGATGAATAATGCAATTCATTAGCGACTACCCATGTAAAACATAGTAAATGAAATTTGTTGTAATTTAATTATGGTAGTGTGAATATGGCAATCACAAATTAAAATGAAGTTGCACACAAAATTTGCAATCACAAATTAAATTATAACATATAATATATAAATTAAAATTTAGATATATACCTAAATTTGAAAACATATTTGAATATAACACATATATACCTATATTTGAATATATCTATTTGATTTTCAATTGCCATTTATGAATATAAGAATTACGGTTTTCTCTTTTTTGTGTTTAAAATCTTCAAATTGAATGAATACCACATGTAGATGATTTTTTCATTTTTGGTTTTGTTTGAAGGATATTATAATATTAAACACTATTGTTATAAATTTATTGTAGAACCATGTATATATATATATACATATAATTTAATCACATAAATTATGTTAAATTTATTTTATCATAATTGATGTTAACATTTTAATCTAACTTACACCTTTCACCCAAAGAAGAGTATATATTTTTGCCAATAGTCTTAAATTAATATACTCCTCTGTTAAAATTAATCTATTGGAAAAACTTTGAGATTTTTGTAGAGAATAACATGTTAACATTTTATTTTTATTTTTCCAATAGTCTTAAATTAATATACTATGTTTAGCATATGAATATATGAATACTGACATAAAACATATATAACACCTATAAACAAAAACAATGTAATTATAATTAAATTTTCGGAATTTTCAGAATTTCGTCGCGCAATCTTGCGTGACGAAATAAAAACTTATTCGTCGCGCAAAGAACAAAAGCTTGCGTGACGAAAAAGTGGTATATTCATCACGCAATCTCATTCAGGCCTTTTACAAATACGGAACACTTAGCATAAATTTTTCCGAGAGGTTTGCACAGAACAAAGACTTGCGCGACGAATACACGCTATTCGTCGCGCATAAACCCTAACCCTAAACCCCACGGTACACTTGGTTGAAATTTATTATCTTTGCATGACGAATCTACTACCTTTTCGTCGCGCAAGCTGCCAGCTCAAAGGCTTGCGCAAAGAATACTTCAATATTTCGTCGCGCAATGTCATTCAATTCTTTTAAAATTCTGTAAAATGTGTATAAAGTGATCAAAATATAGGCAGGGATTACTTTCTATGTACATATTTATATTTTATTATCCATTAATGCCAAAACATAGACGAACACGTAGACTTCAATGTTTTATCATGTTTATAAATTGTGATTTTGTTTAGCCCCACCCAAGCCTAACTTGAAAGTTAATTCAACCTTTCACATTAAATTTCCAAGTCTCCAACCCTTTTCTTTTCTCTGTTTTTTCTCAGCCTTCTGTGATCAAGTGGGATATAGAGGTACCTTTTTTCTCAGCCGACTACTTACTTAGCGTTGTGTGAATTAAACAAAGTACTCATTGTGAGTTGCAGTACTTTTTAAATGTGTTATAAAAAAGTTCAGAAGGGAAAAAATTAATTGAAAAGAGAGAGGGGCAATACGGTCATTTTACTGTGTTGCCTAATAGGACAGAAAAGAACAAAGAACATAAGTAGGGCAAAACCATAATTTCACTATTCTTAAGCGATATATTACAAATTTCTGGCGTAATAAAAAGTTTGCGCGACGAATATGTTATTTATCCGTCGCGCAAAGTGGTCATACCTTTCAATAAACCCTAAACCCAAAAATTAAAACGTCGCCAGTGACAGTGGAAGGTTTTGCCGACACTTCTTGTCAATCTAGTTTGAAATCCTTGAGGTTTTGAGCTGGGAAAATGGGTGGGTTAGATAGAGGACGTTGATATGAAACGTTTGCAACCAATTTCTCCTGAAACGGACGCCAGACGAAGACGAAACCTCCAGTCAAAGTTCCGGCATCGAGTGAAGAGAGAGAGAAGCTGTCCTGTTTTGTTTTTAAAAATTGACTTTGTAAAATTTATGGTTGTGCCGCTGCACTTCCATAGATCATAGCTTATTCGTTTTAACTCCAAATTAAACCTGCCGCCTGTCAACGATCTCGTATCGACGAGCTCTCCACAATGGTGTCGCTTATTTTCCCAAAATCCTTTTAGAACAAAAAGTGACTAAAGTGCCCCTACCCTCAAGGGCGAAATTATAATTTCACAAATAAATAAATAAATATAATAGCAAAGCAAGGGACTGTCAAAACGTGCAAGAAGGAGAGCTAAAAATATTTGAAACATACTTGCTTTGAATAAAAAGTCTTCTTAATCAAACTACAATTTTCATTAAAATCAGAGTTCTAAACAAAACCCTGATTTGAAAACAATTTGAGAATTAGACCAATAAGAACGCATGATTGTATGATGATTTTCCGGCAGCTCAACAGAGGTTTTGTCAAGTACCAGAATAGTCTGCCAGGAGGGAAAAATATGGGTCAGAAGGATGAATAGAGCACAAAATTGCTGGGTTTTGGAAGTAAGAGAGGAAGCTTGCTCTCTGGATGTGGTTGTTGGTTGTTGGGTAGGAGGTGCTTCATTTATTGCCGCTAGAAGCTCCTCCTTCCCAAGAAACCCTAATGGTTTCTATCCAATTTAGCCAAATATTTCCCTTCCTTTCTCCTCTCCTCCCTTGACTTATCCTATCTTGGTGAAATTCTCTGTGCCCAATTGCACAAAAATAGGAATTTTTGGGAGCTCTAGGGTTTTCCCGCAACTGTTTCACTTAGGGGACTCTTATTCTCAGCCATCCCTCTGATGGGCGAAAGAAGTGGGTATACATGCTGGTTTGAAGGGTGCCTCCCCTCCTAGCAGTCTGCGCCACAATATCCCTTGGTTCCTTGAATGCTTTTGATTCACGGGATAGACACCATGCAGCTCCTAGATATCACTGATCATAGGCTGCTTTGTTGGCAGGACGCAATTTGTGAGGCCATAACTCTAAGATTTCATGTGGATTTCCTCCTCAATTTCATGAGGAACTTAGCATGTGTCGTGTTTAGAGCGCGTGCCATTCATAGCATGAAATCATTGCTTGGTTTCGACAAGGTAAAAGCCGCAGTTGACGCTTTGAACATTAAGCAGCGAGATTTAGAGGACCAACGCAAAGAATTACATGCCCTTCTTCTCACTAAAGGTGTTTCTGCTGACAGCGCTGAATGCGTGGCGGAAGTAATAGCCAGATAGTCCCCTAGGGCTTCCTTCATTCTTTTCGGGCATTCTTCATAACCTCAAGGTACATAGTTCCTTTGTCTCTTCTTCTTTTCTTTATTGACGGGCTATTTCTCCCACCGTCACTTAGTCTTGGCACCTACCTTCTTTCTATCTTGCAGGTTGTCTTTCTTTGGTTTGGGGATTGATGGGCTGATCACGTAGTCTTCGTTCCTTTTGAGACCATAGGATGTACTGAACTTTGACATGTGTAATTTTATCTTGCTTTATAATGTAGTACTGAATAACTGGATCTTGTATTAATTTCTGAATGCTTGAGGCATGTTGTAATCCGCATGTCATATATATATATATATATATTGCTTGGTTGGCAAACTCTGTTTTTGTGAACTTCTTGAGATTTTCTAACTGGTTGGATATCCTTAAAAACAAGGTACATGCTGCCAAAATTTTGTCTAACTACTAGGCCTTAAAAATACCTTCTTGTCATGCCTAAAAAAGGGCCACACTTGTATGTGAATGGTTTTTGCCAAGGTCTTGTAAAATTCCCAGATGTTTTGCATATTTTGGTTGCTTATCAAAAGGGGACAATGGTTTCGTTGTTCCAGCACCTCAAGAATGATTTTTTTTTTTTTTTTTTTTTTTTTTTTTTTTTTTTTTTGATTGATGCACTTATCTTTCCCATATTATTTTGCTTAGCCATTTTGCTGCTTGTTGATGGTCCGAGACCCCATCCAAGTGACTTTTCTTGGCATGTTTTACTACTAAGTAGCGTGTTTTTTTTTTTGGGTTTTTTTTTTGTTTTTAGTGTAAAGGAGGTTTAAAATGTATAAAGGGACAATAAAACTCTAGAGACATATATATATATATATTTCAAAATAAAGGGCCCCTACTACCATGATGGTGCACCATACAAAAGTGTCGTTTTTCAAAATATGAACGTAAGACAGAAGGAGTTCATGTCTAAAACAAAAGGAAATGCAATAATAAAAAGTGCTTGACACAAGATTAACTTAGCAGTAGTAAGGCTTGAGCCACTTCCCGTTGATGGGATCCATTAGCGCGCCTTCTTTGACAGAGACCAAGCAATAATAGTCGCTGACGTCGACTTCTTTGACTGCGAATGTGTCTTCCCATTGCGGGGCAGACTTGGAAGGTCCCGACACTCGTCTTCTTACATGCTCCACAACTTTTAGCACGAGGTCTCCTTGCTTGAAGGCGTGACGGTTGACTGTCTTATTATAGGTTTGAGGTATAGTTATGTGGTACACCGCTATCCTCCTTTCTACTACTGCTCTTTTTTTGTCCAAGGCCTCAAGGTCCAGCAAGAGCCAATCCGAGCATGACGTTGTATCCCATTCAAGGTCATTAACGGCTGATACTCTGGCACTTCTAGGAGAGGTGCGGTAAGCCCATAAGGCATCCGGCAAGTGAACACTCCAACCTCCTTCATACTCATGCACCATTTTGCTTAGGATCCTCAATAAAGTTTTATTTGAGGCCTCTGCTTGACCATTTCCTTCCGAGTAATATGGCATGGAATGACGATGCTTGACACCATAGCTGCTAAGTGTCGAGCTTACTTGCTTGTTAACAAACGGGGTGCCTTTTTCAATGACGATCTTGTATGGGATTCTGAATCTGCACACGATGTATTCACGGATGAAATTTGAAATGGCAACCCCTGTGGCCTTCCAAAGAGGAACCGCCTCAACCCACTTTGTGAAATACTCAGTGGCTGTGAGGATCCATATATAGCCGTCAGAAAGTGGGTGGATAGTTCTGATCAAGTCAAGCCCCCAAGTATGAAAAGGTCAGGGAGTGCGCATGTCCTGTAACGGTGTGGGAGGCTTGTGGCTTAAATTGGCATGGACTTGGCAGGTGTGGCACTTCTTTACAAAATTGTATGCGTTGTTCTTCATGGTAGGCCAATAATACTGAACATTCAGCAGCTGCCGGTGAAGCCTCTTCATTCCTTGGTGCTCGCCACAATCTCTAGCGTGAATTTCCCGCATGACTTGTTGTGCTTCTGACTCCCCCAAGCATTTTAATGGTTTACCATTGAACCCTTTACGATAGAGAGTCGACCCATCTATGAAGTACCTTTTCACTATCTTTTTGAGTTTGCGAGCATGCTTGGAGTTGGTTGGCAGAGTCCCGTCGATGAAGAATGCCAAGTATGGAGCCTTCCAATCCTATGCGAATGAGACGGTGAATGATTCTTTGGTGGAGGGTATTGTTGAACACTTGGGACAATTGGCTTGAACCTCGGCTGTTTGTTTCTTCATTTCTGGCCAATAATAACCCTTGCATTGCAGACACCGATACAAACTAATTATCAGTTCCAAATTGCGAGTGGCGTTATGTACCTCTTGGAGCTTCACTCGTTCTTCTGTTGTCCCTATGCAGTGGGTCAAAATTCCTCTTGGAAGGTGTCTGTAAAGCTCCCAAAAGATGATCACATAGTCTTCTAATTCCTTGATGTCGCTTCCCTTGCCTATCTTCTCCTTCACAAATTTCCTCTAGTCGCTTTCTCCAGTGGCTCCTCTTGAGTCATTGCTTCGACTACTGGCATATCTTTTTTTATCACAGTAATGCTAGGTTGCTCTTCAACAAATGAGAGTTTTGACCCCAATGTAGCCAAAGCATCAACATATCTATTAAGTGACCCCCCGGAATATGTTCCAGCATGACTTGTTTGAAAGAATTGACAAGCCTTTCAGCGGCTGTAAGATATGGTGCCAATGTTGCCTCCTTCATAGCAAAGCTCCCTTGCAGTTGATTCAGCAACAGGTTTGAGTCCCCAATAATTTTAATTTTTTCTATACCCATCTCCCTTGCTGTAGACATTCCCATAATGAAAGCCTCATACTCCGTCGTATTATTTGTGCATGGGAAATTTAGCTAGAATGAGAGGGTTGTGGCTTGCCTCTTGGAATTAATGAGCACTACACCTGCTCCTCCACCTTTCGATGTAGAAGACCCATCAAAGTAGAGGGTCCATGGTTCCTCCTCCGTAGCAACAGTGACCATTTCTGGTAGCTCTCCTAGAACTTCCTTAGAAAGAATTGATTCTTCTACTTTAGCATGTCAATCACGGCTTGTCCTTTGATGGCCTTAGGAGTTGTGCATGTGATATGAAATTCGGACTGCTGTAGTAGCCAACATGCAAAACATCCAGATAGCACCGGTCTTGTGAGCAAGTACCTTACGAGGTCAGACTTCACTATGAGCTGTAGCTTGTGAGCGAGGAAGTAATGCCGCAAGCGTTGTGCAGCATAAACAAGAGCAAGGCACAAGAGCTCGGTATTTGGGTATCTCGTTTCGGCTCCCCTTAACTGTCTACTCACATAATAAATAGGACTTTCTTCTCCATCGTGGTCATCTTGAGTGAGTAAGGCCCCAACCGTTGCATTCGTTGTAGCCAAATAGAGCTTTAGTGGAAGTCCCCGAATGAGCGCTCTCATGGTGGGTAGCTTGGTGATTAATTGTTGCACTTGCTGGTAGGCTTCTTGGCACTCCTTACTCCATTCATACGGCTTGCCTTTCTTGAGTAAGGGAGTAAAAACACTCATTGTGGCAGCAAGGCTTGGGATGAAGCGTCGGATGTATGATAATCTTCCCATGAAGCTTTCAATTCTTTTGGGTTTCTAGGTGGTGCAAGAGAGTTTATAGCTCTGGTTTTTTCAGGATCCATATCTATGCCACAGAACCCCAAGAATTTACCAGATGAAACCCCGAACGAGCACTTTTTTGGGTTCACCTTCAACCTGTACAGTCGACACCTTTCTAGCACCTTCCTCAAAACTTCTTGATGGCTTTCTATGGTTTTTGGCTTCACCACAAGGTCATCCACATAGTCTTCTACCTCTTTTCCCATCATATCGTTGAACACCGCTGTCATGGCCCTTTCATAGGTGTCGCCGGCATTCTTAAGACTGAATGGCATGACCGTGTAATAGAAATTCCCCTATAGTGTTCGAAGGGCTGTTTTCTCAGCATCTTTGGGTGACATATTTATCTGGTTGTAGCCACTAAATCTATCCACGAACGACAGCAAGTCTTGCCCCAAGGTTGAGTCGATCAGGATGTCCATGTTAGGCAGTGGGAACTCTTTTGGACAAGCTCAGTTGAGGTCGTGGTAGTCCGTACATATTCGAATTACACCGGTCTTCTTTTTCATGGGGACAATATTTGCTAACCACGTTGGGTGCTTGATTGGCTTGATGAATCCAGCAGCTAACTGCTTTTCAATTTCCACTTTAATTTGCTTTTCAATTTTAGGATGAAAATTCTTTCTCGGCTGCACAACAGGTTTTGTACCAAGCTCAATATTCAAAGTATGACTTACTAAGTTTGGATTTAAGTCGGGCATTTCCTCGTAGCTCCATGCAAACACATCTCAGAATTCCCTTAATAGAGACTCCAAAGCTCCCTTCTCTTCATCCGTCAAGTGACTGTTGATGGAGATGGGCTTTTGGGCGGAGGGGTCATCACTCAAATTGATTGTTTCCAGCTGCTCAGCCACCGCTGTTGAGCCATCTTGCATGTGTCTAGGTGCCGTCATTGGCTCCTGGAAAGCACAAGGCATGGGTGTTTTGTCGTTTGGACCCTTACGGTTGTTTGCTTGCATTGCTTCCTCTCTATACTCAGGGCTTTCCGGCAGAACACGATTGAGCCCCCAAACTCGTCATAAGTGATACACTATGCGTCCGTCTGGCAGCGTCACTTTTGAGCATTGGGGATGATCGTAAGCATGGTTGTTGACTTTCGAGTGCCTCTTTCTTTCTCGATCAACAATGGTTATGAGTTCCTCATTGCTCAGATCACGAATTTCAGTCCATGAGGGTAGGTAGGTCCCGAAATCCTTGGATGGGTTGCTTCCAGCACCTGTGCACTCGGTGTAAAATACTGCCTCAGAGTAGTGAGCTTCGTTTTTATTGAACCGTGCTTGATTTTCCGGTATGCGAAGTGGCCTCGGCCCAATCCTTCCTTTCACGCATTGATGGTAAGTAGAGACCACAAGTTTGTGCTTGTTGAGCCATGGCCTTCCAAGTAAAGTATGGTAAGCCGCATCCACGTCTACTACATAGAACTTAGTAAGTGACCAGATTCCCTACCTTCAAGTTTACTTGCATGTGACCAACTGTGACCTCACTCTTATTCCCGAAACCACTAATGCTTGTTTGAGATTGCATGATTTTGGACAATGGAATATCAGCTGTCGTAAGCACAAAAGGAGGCAATATGTTGACAAAGGAGCCTGTGTCTACCAAAGCTCTTCTTATAAACACATCGTTGATCTGTCCTTCCAAGTAAAGTGGCCTTCTATGATCCGAATATGGAACTTCCGTGTCTTCATCTGTGAAGACAATAGCATTGTCATTTTCCAAGAACGACCTTTGTGGTTGAGCAGTGAAGCAATGAGGATTAGACTCTGCAGAGATGTTCATGAGAGCTACAGCAACTGCTTCTCTTGCTTGAGGTCCAAAGCCAAGTTGGTCATAGAGTGACTTGAACTTCGGGTTCCTTTGGAGGACCTGTGAAGCTGTGGGCCCCGGTTTCAGTCCTAGGTAACCCTCGATCACGCTTGTTTCAGCCTCTGTAATATTATGAAACGTTATAGCAGCTCTTTCCTGCTGTCCCGATGAAGCCCCTGAGTAGCATTCTTCCGGCATGTCTAAAGTAAAAACTTGGTTGCCTGAATCATCACCCCATCCATCAGTGAGCGGCCACGGCGTGTTGTAACTTGAAGGTTTCGAATATTTACACCAATATGCCTTCTCCATGTTTCGGCAAGGTTCCTACATAGCTTCCGGTGGCTTTGGGTCATTCTTCCATAGGTGGCACAGTTCATCATAGTCGAGCAAATCATCAGAGCATGAAATGACAGCAACTACCTCCTTTCCCCTTGGTTTTGGCAAGGGGTCTTCATCAATGGTTTGCTTCCTAGAGGGAAGCTCAAGGACTCCTTCATGTATTTTAGCATGTAAAATCCTCCTTAGACTCTAACAAGCAGTGGTTGGATGCCCTACAAATTGATGATAATGGCAGTATCTAGGATCATTCTCTCTGGTAGGGACTTCGTAGGGTTTGAGAGGCTTGATTGTGCCATCAGCAATCATTGTGTCAAGGATGGCGTGGAATTCTTCGTCCTTGCAAGGTAATGGCAGATATGTCTCCTTATCCTTTTGTTTGCGCGAGTTGTAGCCACTAGATGGCTTATCATTTATAGCTAGTGCTTGGTGCACCTCCTTCTTCTCAATCCTCCAAGTCCTCTGTCCCGTCGGTTTGACAACATGCTCGTCTTCCTTACTACTTCCAGTAGCCGAGAAAATTAGCTTTGTCCTTCTCATCATAGCAATCCAGAGCCAGGTCCCGGAACCAGCTTATGAAGTCCACGGGATCCTCCTCATGTTTTTGGCAAGTGTTGTTGAGTTGAGTGGTGGTAACTCTTTCCTCATGCTGGAAATATTTCTTATAGAACCTACTTGCCAAATCTTCCCAAGAGCAAATAGAGCCTGGTGCCAATGTCGTACACCACGTAAAAGCACGATCGATAAGGCTTTTCAAAAATTCTCGAAGCTAAGGCAGCAATGAAACGGTTGACGTGCTCATTTAGGCTTCCTTTTCTTCCATCAAAGAGGACAAAGCTTGGTGCCTTGTAGCATTTGGGATACGGCTGCTAGAGTAAGCTTTATGGATATGGTGGCTGAGGAATATACTTCCAATCTTACTGGCTTCAATTTAGCTCCTTTTCCAGCATAGCAATAACATCCTATTGGGTGACAAAATATGGTCCCTTTTGTTCAGACCCCTTTCCGGCAGCAGCAGATTCCTCTTGTAGAAGTCTTTCATTTTCTTCGCTTGGCTTAGAAACCGAATTTTCAGCTCTTTGATTGTGTCTGCCATCTCCCTCTTGATCTCCTCCATAGCATGGATGGTTGCAACAAGGTCTGAGAGGGTAAAAGCTCCCTCACTTGCACGTTCTTCTTCTCTAGATGAGGCATTTTGCCTTGATTCCGAATCACCATGGTCTGGCCCATCTTGGGAAGTCATGTTATTGCTTATGTTCTTCTTCTTTGGAGGCATTGATGAACATAATGACCTAATCCCCAGCAGAATCGCCAATTTATGTATAGGCTTTTTTCTTCCGGCAACTACAAATGGGCTGGGCTGCTGTAAAGAGCAAAATGGATGAAATTATCCCATGTGTTTGAGTTCAAATATCATACCCCCAAGAAGGTTTTCAAAGTGAAGCCTTAGGAAACACCCTGGTCACCTTCACCAACAAAAACAATTGGTGCTTATAGATAAATTCTAAATAACATGACAGCCATGATGCAGTGGCAAGTCAACAAGCAGTTCAGGAAGGACCGTGCGGCTGCTATTGCCAGAATTCCAAACCCAGATGTTGTGGTCCAGCAGCTAGATCTCCCTTTTGGACCTCCACCACGATTGGCATGGCCATACCAAGAGAATCCTCTCATTTCGTAGATAACTAGAGTGCCAGGTTAAGGAGAAATCCAGGCTGGACAAAGATAGGGACCCTACCCCGTCCAGGAACACGAAGGCTCAGTTCCTCTAGAACGCCCTACACCAGTTCAGGTACCCCATAACCAGCCAGAACCTCCACCTATTCCTCGACCAGTGGTCCCACGAGATCAGCCAGTAGCACTTCTGCCTGAGCTGCTAGTCGTGTTGCCCTACAAGCCTAGAAGGATGGACCCCAATCCATTTCCTCCACTAGCAAGAGGTAGGAGAGGCAGAGGGGGAATCAACCCTTTTGCCAATAATGACAAGAACAAGTAGGGGCAAACTAGAGAAATCATCCAGATTTCGAAAGAGAAGAGGAACATAGGGAGGAAGTCATACACAGACCATATAGAATGGAACAGAAGGCTGAACACAATCAGCCAGAACTAGGTCAGAACCAACACCCTGTTAACGCCTTGAATGACATGGGAGCACTACAGAGAATAATCAGAGAGATGATGGAGCTTGAAGCCAGAAGAGGAGAGAGGCCCACTTACAGAAAGCCATATCCAGCTTATATTGATCAAATACCTTTATCCCCAAGCTTTAAGGTACCAAACTTCACCTTGTTCAACGGAGAGGACACCCATGCTTCATCAGTTGAGCATATAGGCAGATTCTTTGTCCAGTGCATAGCCATAGAAAATAATCCTCTGCTAAAACTCAGGCTTTTTGGAAATTCTCTCTCTGGACAAGCCTTTACCTAGTATACTAACTTGCCAGAAGTTACCATCAGTGATCTTGTAGCCCTCAAACAGAGTGAAGGTGAGCCTGCCCAAGACTTCATAACTAGGTTCCTAAAGCTCAAAATGAAATGCCGAATCCCTATGAAAGAAAGACACTTCATTCAAATGACCCAAACTACCTTCAAGATTTCTCTAAGGAAGAGATTTGATGGGATGCTATTCGGGGACCTAGTAGAACTGGCAAACAAGGCATCTAAATACGAGGAACTGTTGTTAAGGCCCAAAAAATCCACGGTTGGGCCTGAATATATTCCCGACCCAATGCGATACCTTACCGATAAGAAACCCGATTTGGGCATGCGAAAGTTTGTCATACATGCTTGCACAAGCCATGACCACATGCCACACCAAATAAATATGCCATCCGGCACACTAAGAATTGAAATGGGCCTATAAAAGGCACTAACTTTATAAACCCATGCCAGTTACCCCGCCAAGCATCATGTCCCTTTTCAAAGACGATAAAATTAAAGCATGTCAATCGACATGCCATGCCAAGCAAGAAATCATTATTTCACACCCAACCATGCTACAAGCTTAAGTTGGCCCAAGCCATACAAATGTCCGGGGCTAGCTTGAGTGGGTTGTGGAATGGATGGTAACGAGCCTTCATGAGGCCCTTTGATGAGCCAAGAAATGGAAGTTTTGGGCTGCTTGGGAGCCCCAAAACTCAAGCCCATTTCTTGAGCTCAAATATGTGGATAAGCATAAAAGAGAGAAAAAGGGAGCCCAATACCCTAGGAAATTTGCCCATCACCATAAATAAAATACCCCATCATTTAAGCCCAGTCCCTTGGTAGGCTAACCAATCACTTTATCAAAAACCCAAGCAGCTAAGCAAAAATCGATACTCTCCAACACTTAGCTGGAAACGTGAACCACAATGAAAGCCCCCCCCCCAATCAGATCTGGCCATGGAAGAAGGGAGAAAAGACGGAAGAAAGATGGCTAAAAATGGGATTCCCTCACTAGAACAGTTGCTGGAAAAGCTTAGAGCTCCGCAAACCCTATTTTTGCACGATTAGGCAGAGTGAATTTCACCAAATAAGATGAGTCAATGGAAGAGAAGAGAAAGGAGAGGAAAGACTTGGCCAAATTGGATAGAAAGAGGCATTTACTACCCATTATCTCAACCTACATCTAGAGAACAAGCTTCATCTCTCATCTCTGAAACTTTGCAATTTCGAGCCACATTCCTCTATCTCCTTCAATTTCTCTTTTGGTAAGTCACTCTAGAGCTTGACAGAGCCTTTGTCAAGCTGCTGAAAAATTACCCAAAACACCCAATACTTAACCACTAGCTACAACACACATCTGGAAAGCAAGCTTTTCGAACCCCATCCTTCCATCTCTCCCCATTTTCCCTTTTGGTAAACTGTTCCAAAACTTGATAGAGTTTTCGTCGAGCTGTCGGAAACTACTCAACGCACCCAATATACCCCCATCTCTCTCTCTCTCTTCAACAAACCCACTTAAAATCCTTTCCCCTCCTCCTTAGAACCCCTGTTTCTCATAGGAACTCACAGCTCTCTCTCTTTAATGCTAAACTCATGATTGCTTTGCTTCTGTGCCACAAGCCTCTCGTGCCAAGTTAAGAATTTATCTGTAAGCGACTGTTAGTTTTGCTAGTGAAGGTAACCAAGGTACTTCCTAATTCTTGAACTTAGACCCAGGGACAATTTTCACACATTTGGCTATGTTTGTGCCTAATAAATCACGGTCATAAACTGATTGAAGGGACTTCCTTTCGGCCCTGGCGCCTACCGTTTCGTCAAGCATTTCGCCTTCCTGAGAACAAAAGAAAAGCTGCAAAGGCAGAATCCTCTCGGCCTCGCGACCGCAGTATTGAAGGCCGAAGCCGAAGGCCGTAAAAGACACGGCCGAAGAAGCTGTGGTTAAATCGCCATGTGGCCTTAGGGTCCCACGCCCCATTTAATGAAGTAATGCCTCTGACTTTCGCAGCAAACCCACTAGTCGCAAGAAGCATTTAATGCACAAGGGAAGAAGGGAAGTGACTGAAGTCAGGATTTGGTGATGGAAATCAGGGTGGTTAGGCGCAGACATTCTTACAAGTAATCTTATGACTTAAGGTCAGATCACCAACCACCAGACCAGGGCATTAAATGCGTTCCCACGGCCAAGGGGGCAAAACCCACGATCAGGGCGGTGGCCGAGATTTACCGAGATTTATGGGGGTCACACCACCATGCTTCTCAACCCCAAACCACCATGCTTCACGATCCCAAATGCCGATTTGACTACCCACTTGCCCCGGTCAGGCTCCATCACGCAGGTCTTGTCAGCCTCGATTGTCCCTCCAAGACTCCTCCTATAAATACTAAGCTCAGCACTACATTCAAAAGGTTCAAACACCAAACCAAAAGCCTCCCACGGAGCAAATTATATTTTCCTGTAATGCACTTTCAATACCTTTATTTGCTTTCCTAGGAGTTGTGGTAGATTATAAGGAAAATCCATTCATCAATATATCATACAACCCTTGATTTTCAAGGCGCCAGAGCACCATCTCTGTTATCGTCTCATTCACCCCATATATCATACGACCGTCGCTCTCTGAGCAACGCGCCAGCGCATCGCCTAAAACCCGCCACCAACACCACCACTAAACGACCTTGTAGCTCAGGCCGTGAACCTGACGGCCGAGATCAGTTCCTCTCTCGGCCACAATCGTGTGATTAGGAGTCGAACGCAAAACAGGGGCAACATTTAACCATCTTCTACCCAAACCCCATCATCATCTCGACGCACGGTAGACCGTGCTGGCACGCCCGCGCACAACCGCACCGCATCCAAAAGAAGGACGTCACGTGTTGACGCACATCCCCTCGACCCGGAGCACCAGGCCGCGAGATTTGCGCAGAGACAACACTTTTGGCACGCCTGGTGGGACTCTTGTTAGAAACCCATGGTGGAAACTAGGGCACAGGCAAAGCTCAAAAACAAAACAGTCAAAATGACTTCCGAGGCTCCTGAGTCCACCTCACCAATCACTATCACCGAGACCGAACACGCGGTCAGAATCTCGTCCAACGGTCCAATAACGACGGATCGCGCGGCTGAGTCCATGGGAGAGCAAGCAGTCGTGGAGGATCTGATGGTGAAGTCGGCCTACAGGATAAAGACATCCTTTATGGCCGCAATGGACAGATTCTCCTCAAAGCTACGGACGCTCTTTCAGGAGAGGATGCCGATAACATCCTCCGCAACGCCTCCCAGAACCGGACAGAGAAGCCAAGAGCGCGAGAGGTTTGAGCCCTACGGCGAAAGCAGCAGCCTCGGCATCTCTGGTCGCACCAAGCGTCAGGCTACGGCCAGCATTCTCAGCCGCCGACAAACAGCTGGGGGCAATCCCAGCCAACATGGGTAAATCCCGAACCGATCTTTCTAGTAGAGACGGCGTACGGCCCACTCCATGCTTTGGTCCACTCCATGCAAAGCAGCCCCACACATTTCGCGGTCCAGTAACTTGGCCCAGTTCACACTGTGGCTGTCCAGACCCATCCCGGCCCAAGCAACTCGACCGTTTCACCATTACATACGTCGTTATTGCCATCAGGCTCCCATCTTCAGTACGATTGGGCCGTTCCAACAACAACGCATACGCACCCCGGTCAAACCTACGGCACATATTAACACAAATTAAACTTATTAAACTGGAAACTAAGTTAAGGGAACAATGATTGGGGGGAATTCTGACGATTTAGACTAAAGTAAGACTGACAGCAGCAAACAACTAAGTTGTGAATGAAATATGGATTAAGGGATAGCTAGAGGATTCTTCTCCACACATGGAACATATGCACACAAATCGATCTCCAGTTACTCTTTCTATAAAGTATGAATGACAAAGCCCCAAATTAATTGTGAATGCACTAATTAACTCTCAGATTTTCCTAAGTTCATTGAATTGGACTCAGCGACGCAATCAAATTATCCTTATCAAGTTCCCTATATGAACAGCATGATAGAGATACATATCAAAGATCATTAAGTTCTATGAAAATCATAAGCCTTGACAAGACAATTGTAACTATGAAAAGCATGATACTCCTGCCAAGAATTTACTTAACACAATCATGACTAGTGACTTTTACTACTTGTGAATATAAGTTCATAACAATTAGGTGAAATTCCCTTATATTCTAGCATCAAATCCCTGCATACAAACTAAGTATGCATCCTTAATAAACATGCAAGAATAAGTCCTCAATAAAACAGAAAAGTAAATCACATTCATACTTTATGAAACCATAACTGGAAGTAATCAATTCATGTAAAACATATGTCCATGGCTTCGAATTCACCTCTAACTAAGAAGAAATTCAGTTACACATGTTCATAATAATTGGAAAGCAATATAGAATAAACATTTGAACTAATCAAGGGAAGAACTCTGAAAAACCCAATGGATGCAGCAGGTTCCGGCTCCAAGTTCTTCTTCTCCCTTTCTCCTTTCTTGCTACGGCACCAAAAAAACTCCCTTTCTCCTGCGGCAACCCCTCCTTTATATATGTGATAGATCTAGGGTAAAAGGGCCCAGCAGAAACCCACGAAATTAGGGTTTTGTTTGGAAGATTTCTTTAGGAATAATAGGGCCCAATAGAAACCCACGAAATTAGGGTTTTTTAGGTTTCCTAATCTGAAATTAATCCCCCCCTTTTACAGCTGGAATTTAGGTCGAATAGGATTAGGATAAGGTAAAATAAAATAAAATCAGTTAGGGTTTTTTACTTCCCAGAAGCTGATTCTTGAATTAATTTCCCCATCTTTTTAGCACATTCCTAGCCTCTTCGAACTTCAAAAACGTCCATCCATCTTGGCCCATGCATATGCTACCCATTCCAAGTCCAAAACTGCTCTAAAATGCTCCAAAATGCCCTTTCTTGCCAATCTTGCCATCTGGACCTACAATAGTACGAAAATAAGCTAAATCACTCTAATAAATGGGAATTAACTAAGTAAATGCAAAGAAATAAGATACCAAAGTCGCATAAATATGCTCCTATCAGAACGGTTCGTGTGGGGGGCAGAACATCAAGCGGCCCTCGACGACATCAAGCAATATTTATCTCAACCACTAGTCCTCATGCCGCCGAAAAGAGGGAAACCCTTGAGGCTTTACATTTCGGCTTCAGAAGGCTCTATCGGTTGTCTGCTGGCCCAGAACAACGAGTCTGAGCGAGAGCAAGTAGTGCATTATTTGAGCCGCACCCTTAACATGGCTGAGCTAAACTATTCACCGATCGAGAAATTATGCTTGGCACATTATTTCGCGGCCACCAAGTTGCGCCATTATATGCTTCCTTCGGTCGTTCAGATCATCTCCAAGACCGACCTCATCAAATACATGCTTACTCGGCCGATCATACGCAGCCGGATCGGGGAGTGGACGATGGCATTGTCCGAATTCACCTTCCAATATGTGGCTCAGAAGTCGGTCAAAGGCCAGGCATTAGCCGATTTCTTGGCCCACCACCTGGCTCAGGGGCAAAAGGGGGAGTTGGAGGTTGAGATCGGCATGGCCTGCATGGAGAAGAACTACTGGACCATGTACGTCGATGGCTCTAGTACCGAGACCAGATCTGGGGCCGGGGTCGTGATCGAGTCCCCCCAAGGACAAAGGTGGCAATTTGCGTTCCAGCTTGGTTTCAAATGAACCAATAATCAGGCCGAATATGAAGCACTCATCATCGGTCTTGAAATTCTAAAAGAAATGAAGGCGACCCGTGTCCTGGTCTACGGTGATTCTCAGCTGGTAATTAACCAACTGACCGGGGAATACCAGTGCACGAGCGAGAATTTAACCTTGTATTATGTAACGGCCCTCAATACGGCCGATGAATTTTCTCCTTCATTCACGTACCGGGCACCGAAAACCATGAGGCCAATGAGATGGCCCATGTAGTGTCAGGTGTGAACATTTAGGACAGCGACCACGACCGCGTAATAAGGATCGAGAAGCGTACCCTGCTGACTTTGGCCGAGTGAGGAATGACGGTGCAAGTATCATCAGCCGAGATTACCGACGAGGTCGAAGCGGCCGAAGCCGACTGGCGCTACCCCATAGTAAAGTATTTGCGCGATCCCTACGGCAACCATGAAAGGACTGTCGCTCGGTGTTATTTGATTTATCAGAACGAGCTGTATCGAAAAGGATCATACGGTTTATTGCTCCTATGCCCCAGCGCCGAAGATATCAATGTCATCATGGCCGAATCCCACAAAGGGATTTGCGGCGCTCACCAGTCCGGTGTTAAGATGAGATGGTTGGTCTGGAGGCACGGCTATTATTGGCCGACCATTTTAAAGAACTACATAGAATATGCGAAGGGGTGCATTAAGTGTCAAATCTACGGCCCTATACAAAGGGTACCGGCTGACGCCCTCCACCCAGTTACTAATGGCTGTTCAGAGGATGGACCGCGGATATCATCAGCAAAATCTACCCAGCCGCATCCAACCAGCACGCCTGGATTTTGGTGGCAACTGACTATTTCACTAAATGGGTCGAGGCGGAGTCCTATCGGTCCATTTCTAGCAAATAGGTGGTCAGATTCTTCGAAAATCACATCGTCCACAGATTCGGTATACCCGAAACCATCAGCCGAGACTCGAGAATACGCCGAGAGGGTAGGGATCAAATTGGTCCACTCGACACCCTACTACCCACAATCTAACGGACAGGCCGAGGCGAGCAACGAGGTAATCAAGGGCATCCTCGAGAAAATGATTGAGGAAAAACCTAGGGCATGGCACGACTTACTCCCTGAAGCCCTTTGGGCTTACTAAGTCTCAAAACGATCGGCCACTGACACATCCCCTTATGCCTTAACCTATGGCCATGACGCCATCGTTCCGATGGAGCTAAAGGTTCGATCTCTCCGTGTGACCGAACGACCTGGGCAGGAAGGAAAAGGACTATGCGCAGGCCATGGCTCAGGAGTTAAAAGATTTGGAGCAATCCAGACTCGACGCTTATAACCTAATGCAGGCACAAAAGCAGATCGCGGCGAGGTCGTACAACAGGAAGGTGAAGCAAAAGACTTTCGCCGAAGGCAACTTGGTATGGCGTGCCGTGCTTCCTATCGGTACTAAGGACCCTCGGTTCAGCAAATTCTCGCCCAATTGGGAAGGGCCATTTATTATCGAACGGATCCTTGTCTGAGGTGCATTTCAATTAAGAGATAGGGATGGGGAATGGCACAACTTGTCAATAAACGGCCAGTATTTGAAGAAATATACCCCGTCATTATGGGAGACGGCCAAGAAGAAAAAGAGGGTTGTACTTCATTTAGATTAAAAAGGGGTCGCGGTTACAAAAGAACAGCCGGTCATGGCCGAATGAAACATATAAGCATACATGTGCGAAAAATAAATAGAGTACATCCTAAATCTATGAACGGCTGCTTCTTGATCCCCTCGCTAGAGCAGGCAGATGATTCTTCCCTAGGCGGTGCCTCCACCGCCCACGTTTCCACTGACCGCGGCCACAGGCAAGGACGTCACTCTGGACATGGGTGAAACTGGGTTGCAATCAAGGCTGTCGCTCGGGCCATGGCCAGGGCCATCATTCTGGGCACAACTATGGCTGGGTGAAGCCAGGACCATCACTCCAGCCATGGGTGCAACCAAGGTGCTAGGCCAAACGAACATGGCCAAGTTGGAATCATCACACCAGGCCCTTCCATCTTCATCGATCGCATTACAGTTTCTCCACGGCCTCATAAGAAGGAAGGTCATCCTCCCCCAGGGCCGGGAAGGAATCTCGGCCACACCATGGCCTTGGCCCACATCGACTTTCCAAGACGAAGGATAGTTGGTGGACAGCAGGAAGGAAAAAACCATCTGGATCAGGCCACGACGCGAGGATCTGCGGATATGGCTCAACCCTGGTTCTGGAGAAGCTACAGAGGGGAGGCCACTGGAGCAGGTTAGAATGGAGGGGAAGGAGTGGAGAAAAATGAAGAAGGCAAGGCTTTTTATATTGGCACTAGAATTCAAAACGAAAGGGCATGGCTCTCTCGAGAGACGTAACGGTCTGACAATGCGTTCGCATGCGCGATGACGTGGCGGAACCTCAGAAGCCGTCATTTCATTTAACAAGACGAAACGGCAGCTTGCGCAATAATGGCTTGCAAGACGTGCTTGCGCATTTAATGTGCCGATTGACCTACGCATTTAAAGCACCAACTGTCAATCACTTCAGGGGGAATGCAAAGGGTCCATCCCTTGCAATCCTTTCGGCCTCTGCCGAAGCCACGATCGAAGAATCCAGGGATGTGGGGGCAATGTTTGTGCCTAATAAATCACGGTCATAAACTGATTGAAGGGACTTCCTTTCGGCCCTGGCGCCCACCGTTTCGTCAAGCATTTCGCCTTCCTGAGAACAAAAGAAAAGCTGCAAAGGCAGAATCCTCTCGGCCTCAAGATCAGAGTATTGAAGGCCTAAGCTGAAGGCCGTAAAAGACATGGCGGAAGAAGCTATGGTTAAATCACCACGTGGCCTCAGGGTCCCACGCCCCATTTAATGAAGTAATGCCTCTGACTTTTGCAGCAAACCCACTAGTCGCAAGAAGCATTTAATGCACAAGAGAAGAAGGGAAGTGACTGAAGTTAGGATTTGGTGATGGAAGTCAGGATTTGGTGATGGAAATCAGGGTGGTTAGGCGCAGACATTTTCACAAGTAATCTTACGACTTGAGGTCAGATCACCAACCACTAGACCAGGGAATTAAATGCATTCCCACGGCCAAGGGGGCATAACCCACGATTAGGGCGGTGGCCGAGATTTATGGGGGTCACACCACCATGCTTCTCAACCCCAAACCACCATGCTTCACGATCCCAAATGTCGATTTGACTACCCACTTGCCCCGGTCAAGCTCCATCACGCAGGTCTTGTCAGCCTCGATTGTCCCTCTAAGACTCCTCCTATAAATACTAAGCTCAGCACTACATTCAAAGAGTTCAAACACCAAAACCAAAAGCCTCCCACTGAGCAAATTATATTTTCCTGTAATGCACTTTCAATACCTTTATTTGCTTTCCTAGGATAGTGGTAGATTGTTAAAGAAAATCCATTCATCAATATATCATACGACCCTTGATTTTCAAGGCGTCGGAGCACCATCTCTGTTATCGTCTCATTCACCCCATATATCATACGACCGTCGCTCTCTGAGCAACGCGCCGGAGCACCACCTAAAACCCGCCACCAACACCACCACTAAACGGCCTTGTAGCTCAGGCCGTGAACCTAACGGCCGAGATCAGTTCCTCTCTCGGCCACAATCGTTTGATTAGGAGTTGAACGCAAAACAGGGGCAACATTTAACCATCTTCTACCCGAACCCCATCATCATCTCGACGCACGATAGACCGTGCTGGCACGCCCGCGCACAACCGCACCGCATCCAAAAGAAGGACGTCACGTGTTGACGCACATTCCCTCGGCCCGGAGCACCAGGCCACGAGATTTGCGCAGAGACAATAGGCTCTTTACAGCAGCCCAGGCCCATAGTAACTGCCGGAATGAAAAAGCCCCTACAACTGCTTAGGGAAGAACAACAAAAGAGAAACTCCTCAAAAGGCACATATTACAAGACACCATCTTCCTCAGTACATTTGGTTGAAGTCGAGACAAAAGAAGGTACAGAAAGCTCAGAAGAGAGGGAAGTTGCAGTGGTAGAAATGGAAAAATTAAAACATCCTATCAAGTGCAAGGCTTTGATAAAGCCACCAAAAGATCATAAGCGACCACCATTTACAGGAGGATTTTTTCCAAACAAACCAACACAATACAAGGTCTGCTCTTTCGATTTAACCAAGGTTGATGCTATGTTTGAAGAAATGCTTCTCCGAAACGCAATAGAGACACCTCACAGATTGCCCGAGCTAGAGGAACTCAAGGGCAGACAGTATTATAGATGGCATAACTCTTGGAAACACTCCACCAAGAAGGAATAACTGCAGGAAGGCTGAAACTAGCTGAGAAGCCTTTCACAGTAACCACAGACCCTTTTCCCCAACCTCAAGTTAACATGATCAACTTAAACTGGCCAGAATAGGAGAAAGGCAAGCAGGTAGCAGAAGTTAACCCCAAGATAAACAGAAGAGTGCCATAGGAGGCAAATCAGAAATCAAAAGCAACTATCTCAGCTGGGGTAGTTCTATGCAGCAGGTGCAAATGTGAAAGTGAGTTGGAGATAACTCTGGATGAACAAAAACAGCCTACAACCAATGTTTTTGACAAAATTGGAACATCATACTGCCAGAGCTCGGTCCCAGCCCTATCTAAAGACACAGCCAGATAGAGGAACTATCAAAGACCTGCCCAGCGCATTAGAAAGGTGATTGAGCAGCCAAAAAAGGAAATACCAATTAAAATGCCCAGAAATGTAGGCCTTTAGCAACTATCATAGAAGGCAGATGATATTATGTTGGAAAAAGTGGCAAGCCAACTACTTAAGACTTGATTAAATGAATATTCAATTTTCCATTGGACTAAGTGAGTGTTGTTAAACAAGATAGGTTTGAAACCGTTTAGGATTGTTGTACAAACTGGGCTGAGTGCTTAAACTACTTAAAACTTGTTTGGGCCTAAATTCTGCACGCTCAGCCCAAAACTATTGGCCCACAAAAGGAAACAAATTCAGGTTCCATGTTTTGAAGAAATTAAATTATCAACCCAAAATTGAAGAAGCCCATGCCATTTTAACTAGCCCATCTTTGTCAAGAGACCCATGAACAAAACATTTGGGCTTTTTCTACAGGGATTAAAAGTCAAAAACCAAAATGTTGAAATAAGCCCAGATCCTTTTAGTAGATTGTGAATTTAGCCCTATTCTAGATAAACACCATTACACCTTTTTTAGAAAACTCACTCTACCCAAGGAGGAAGCTAGTCAACAAAAGACTTTCTAAAAGGTTTTCTCGAAAGAGATCCCCACGTGACTTTCTGACCTTGAAAAGTCAAAACTTTCAACTAACACAGGGGAGGTGATGGGAGTTAAATGAAAATAGGTCTTACAAGAAGACTTCTCCATTTTTTGTAGACAAAAAGAAGATCAAAATCCCTTTCTATATACAACACCAAAGCAGGTGTCATTTCCAAGCATAAGCATACTATATTTTTTTAGAGATAAGTAGGGAGAAAGGGAGTGGTTCATCAGGAAAAGCAAACCCCCAAAGTTGGCTATTATGAACAGAGGTCTGAGGTGATTGACCATCTCTTTGGTTGGTTTGGAAAAACAAAGCTGTTTTGTAGCCAGTTTCATGGCAGTTCCGCCTGTTTTGGCAGTAGGAGTTTGTTGTTCTGGCGCCTCCTCTACCTCTGCCAATATGCACTCAAAACTTTCCTGGGAGAACACGTCTCCCTCCAGAGAGTTTTCTTGTCCTTCTGGCAAGATGAACACCATGTTAATACCTAGATCACCCTGCAACAGGCTCTCTAATTCTGCACCAAAAGCCTCAGTTTCTTCATCCAATTCTACATCATACTCCATCTGTTCTTCCCCATACTCTTCTGTCCAGTCCTCTTGTTCTCCTGTTTCGAGGAGCCCAGTCTGGTCGTCTGCAGATGGTTTATAGTCCAACTGCTCCTCTTCATATTCTTCAGCCCAGTCTTCTTGTCCTTCTACTGGAATAGGTTCAGATTCACCTTGCACATGTGAAGTTTCAAGCTGATTGATTGAGGAAGGGGCAGGATGGATGGAAGGTCCGCCTGGAGATTCTGTCTTCATAAGTTCTTGTGGTTGATATGTTGTTTGTTCTGCCTAAGGGGCTATTTCTGGATTCTTCCCTCGCCTGGCAAAACTGGTCTCTAGAAGTACCTGTGTGTCATCCCTGTTCTTGAGGAATGTGTGGTATTATCTTTGAACTCTCCTCTTCTGAGTTCTGGTTAACTCCAGAGTTGGTCTACTACTTTTTCCAACAGAATACCATCTGCCTTCTATGATAGTTGCCAAGGGCTTGTCATTTCCAGGCATCTTAATTGGTATTTCCTTCTTCAACTGCTCTGTCATTATTCTACTGGGTTGAGCAGGCCTTAGATAGTCCTTATGTCTCCCTCTGTCTTTAGATGGAGCCGAAACTGGGCTCTGTTGGTATGATGTTCCAATTCTATCAAAAATGCTAGGTGTGGACTGACTCTGCCTGGCCAGAGTCACTTCTAACTCACTTTCACACTTGCACTTGCTACACGGCACTACGCCAGCTGAGATGGTTGCCTTTGGCCTTTGATTAGTCTCCCTTGTGACTCTTCTACCTTTGCTGGAGCTAGCCTCTGCCGTTAGTTTGCCTTTCTTCTGTTCTGGCCAATTTAAGTTGACCATGTTGACTTGAGGTTGGGGAAAAGGATCTGTTGTAACTGAGGGAGGTTTCTCCACCAGTTTTAGCCTTCCTATTGTTATTCCTTCCTGTATGAAATCTCCGAAAACAACACAGTTGTTGGTGGAGTGGTTCCAAGAGTTGTGCCATTTGCAATACTATCCGCCCTTGAGTTCTTCTGGCTTGGGCAACCTGTGGGGTGTCTCTATTGCCTTCTATAGCAGCATCTCATCAAACAAAGCATCAACCTTGGTCAGATCGAAGGAATAGACCTTGTTCTGTGTTGGTTTGTTTGGAACAAACCCTCATGTGAACAATGGTGGCTTCTGGTCCTTTGGTGGCTTTGTAAGAGCTTTGCAATTGATGGGATGTTTCAACTTTGCCATTTCTGCTACTGCAATTTCTCTTTCCTCCGAGCCTTCTGTGTCTTCTTCTGACTCTACCTCAACCAGATGTATTGAAGAAGAAAGGGATTTGTAGTACGTGCCTTTGGAAGAGTTCCTCTTCTGTTGTTCTTCCCTGAGCAGCTCCTCGTATTTAGACGCTTTGTCTACCAGTTCTGCCAGATCTCCAAACTGCATCCCATCAAATCTTTTTCTCAAAGAGATTTTAAGGGCGGTTTGAGCCATCAGAATGAAGTGCCTTTCTTCCATAGGGATTCGGCATCTCATCTTGAGCTTTCTGAATCTAGTTATGAAGTCTTGAGCAGGTTCATCTTCACTCTATTTGAGGGCAACAAGATCACTGATGGTGACTTTTGGCTGGATCCTAAAATAGTAGTCATGGAAAACATTTTTCATTTGCACCCAGGTATGAACAAAATTAGCTAGTAAAATGGTGTACTAGGTGGAGGCTTGTCCAGAGAGAGAATTTCCAAAAAGCCATAGTTTTAACAAAGGGTTATTTTCTATGGCTATGCACTGGATAGAGAATCTGCCTATATGCTCAACTGATAAAGCATGGGGATCTTAAGTTTGGTACCATGAAACCCAGGGATAGAGGTATCTGATCTATGTAAGCCGAATACGGTTTTCTATAGGTGGGCCTTTCTCCTCTTCTGGCTTCAGGCTCCATCATCTCCCTGATCATCCTCTAAAGTGCCCCCATGTCATTCAAAACATTGATAGGGTACGGATTTCGCCCCTATTCTGGATGGATGTGGTCAATCCTGTGCTCCATTCTATATGGCCTGGGCAGGACTTCCTCCTTGCGTTCTTTCTCTTCTTCAAAATCTGGAATATTCCTCCAATTGGCCCCCGGTCTATTCCTGTCATTGTTGACAAAAGGGTTAATTCCCCATCTGCCTCTCCTGCCTCTCCTGCCTCTTGCTGGTGGAGGGAATGGATTGGGGTCCATCCTTCTGGGTCTATAGGGCAACACAGCCGGTGCCTCAGGCAGAATTGCCAAAGGTTGATCACGTGGGGCCAAAGGTTGTGGAATAGGTGGAGGTTCTAGCTTATTATGGGGGACCTGAACTGGTGCAAGGCATTCTGGCCGAACTGGAACCTCATGCTCTTGGACAAGAAGGGCTCCTCCCCTCTATCCAGCTTGGATTTCTCCATGCCCTGGTATTCTAGCTATCTGTGCGATGAGAGGGTTCTCTTGGTATGGCCATGCTAGTCCTGGTGGAGGTCCATAAGGGAGGTCTAGCTGTTAGACCACAACATCTGGGTTTGGAATTCTGGCCATAACAGCCTCACAGTCTTTCCTGAACTACCTATTGACTTGTCATTGCATCATGGTTGTCATGTTGTTCAGAGTATCCTGGCTCCTTTGTGTTGTGGCCTCCTGCTGGAACACAGCCTCCTGTATTTGGTTCAACCTCCTAGAGCCAGACTTGGAGCGTCTACTCCTGGTACTGCCATGGGCTGATTGCCTGGCATCATTTTCTTCTGACTCCAGTCCTTACCGGAGAGCTATTTGATCTCTTTCCATGGCGTAATGTGGGTTCTGGCTAGAACTTCCAATATTCATATACTTTGAAAGATTTTCCTAGGAATATGTATATTGAGAAGTCCCACTGGGCGTGCCAAATTGTTCACCCGTTTTATGTTTGCTCCTGTGGTGATACGGTAAAGTTCCCCATTGCCTTGAAAACCATTGACTGGTCAACAAGTCAACTTTCTTTAGTGTGCGAGCGTGCCACTGCTAGCAATAAAAAATCCTAGCAGACTTCTTAAAAATAGATAACTTGCTCCCCAAGTTACTGATTTCTAAAAAGCGATTGTGAATTTGGGTGAGGAATATCTCCCAAGTAAGTTCTTTTCTTGCCTCAGACTGGTGAGGACTTCACAATTTTTCACAGTACAAAACTAGTAGTTCTTGCCATAATAAATGATAAGATAGTGAACTGTTTTAGGCAGAAGTGCCTTTTACAAAACTCAAAACGGAAAAACCCAACTCTAGAAAGACAAAAAGAAGACTGGACTTCCATTTCTGCCTGGATAGAAGCTTCTGATCCGGTTTTCCCTGTGCTGGACTAGACTATCAACAACTTTAACTGCGAAGCTTCAGCTGTAAATCGATACCAACGTTCGAGTTTGGCAAAGCTTTAATCTACTTCAAGCCTTGGAAGACTTTTTGAACGGGCAGAATTGAGGCCTTTTCAATCTGAAAGGGGCAGAAGTGGCTGGACTTTAGGATTATTGAGCTGGAATTGCACTGTGGTACCTGTTATGCTTGATCAGGGCTCTCCATAAATTTGTTGAGGTTTTCATATTTGTAAAAACCCAAACTCTGCTTGAAAAAAGAGAAATATCTGTTTTGGCAGATAAACCGTCAGTAGTCAGTTCTAAGGCAATCACTTCCCTGTTTTTCTTGAAAGAAAACCTAACCCTTTTCAAATTTAATTGCTCTTTGTTAGAGCTCAAACTGTGATGGTTTGTTTGATCTTTCAAATGAGCAACTCCCCGCATCCTACTTATATCTCAAAACATAGTCTGCTTATCTCTTTGAAAATGGTGCTTGCTTTGGAGCAGAAATTTTTCTGAATATACAAAAAAGGGACTTTGATCTTCTGGTGGCAGAGATGTCTTTCTTTTATACTTGCCCTTATTAACTCCTTATCAACCCCAGTTGAATTTGTTGACTTTTCAAAGCTAGGTAGTCATGTGAGTTCCTCTGTAATCTAGGGCTGAGTGCGTTTATTTTTAAAGTGGTATTTCGGCCCATTCTTCAATTTGGGTGGAGAGCTAGTGGTTTTGGCCCATTTATAAGGGGAGCGTTGGTGGCTTTCCAAAATTGACATGGGCTTTTTGGACTGGGTGTGCCAAATTAGGCACAAACAAAGAGGGGAAGTATTGGGTGTTTTGGGCAATTTTCCAGCAACCTGACAAAAGCTATGTCAGACTCTGGAATGGCTTGCCAAAAGAGAAAATGGGAGGAGATGGAGGAATAGGGCATGAAATTGCAGAGTTTCAGAGATGAGAGATGAAGCTTGCTCTCTAGATGTAGGTTGAGATGATGGTAGGAAATGCCTCTTTTTATAGGCGCTGGAAGCTCCTTCTTCCCAAGAAACCCTAATGGTTTCTATCCAATTTGGCCAAGTCTTTCCTCTCCTTTCTCTTCTCTTCCTTTGACTCATCCTATTTGGTAAAATTCTCTCGGCCCAATCGCACAAAGACAAGGTTTGGGAAGCTCTAGGCTTTTCCCACAGGTGTTCTAGTGGGGGACTCCCATTTTTAGCCATCTTTCTGCCTTCTTTTCTCCCCTCTTCTATGGCTAGATCTTATGGGGGGGAAATAAATGGGTATGTACACTGGTTTGAAGGGTGTTTTGCTCAAGTATCCCTTGATTTTTCTGATGGCTTGCATTGGGTTTGTCTTTGGCAATGTGCTGGAGTCTCCCAGCAGCCTAAGCGTACAAACATCTCTTGGTTTTCTATCGTGGTTTTGTTTCAGACCATGTGTTGGAGATTTTTAGATATTTCTAAGCCACTTGGGCCATTTGGGTCTTCCTAAGGTGATGGGTTAGTGTGTTAAGGGAATGGGCCAGCTTTATCAAGTGTTGGGCTATTTTCTCTTCTTTTTTATTGTTTACCCACATATTTGGGCTCATGAAATGGGCTTGAGTCTTAAGGCTCCTAAACAGCCCAAGACTTCCATTTCTCGGCCCATCAATGGGCCTCATGAAAACTCGTAATCATCCATACCACAACCCACTCAACAAGCCCCAGGCATTCGCATGGCTTGGGTCCACTTAAGTTTGTAGCGTGGCATGTTGCTTATTTGTTTGGCGCGGCACATGTGCAAGCATATATGATGAATTATTGCATACCCAAATTGGGTTTCTTCCCAAGTTAGGTGTCGTACTAGGCTGAGAATTTATTCAGGCCCAATTATGGATTTTTTGGGCCTCAAAACATAGGAACTGACTGTTGATGGCTTTTTCTGCCAGAATAGATAACTTCCCTTTTTTATGGCATTTAAAAAGAAAGATCTTCTGAAAAGATTTGTCGTCCATTATTCAAAGATTAAAAACCCCACTCCAGCATTTCCTATAAAATGAGAGAGAGAGAGAGAGAGAGGAGAGAGAGAGAGAGAGAGAGAGAGAGGGTGAACAGATAAAAGACAGCCAAAAAATCAATCAAGACAAAAACTCTCAAAGATATAACTGACAAACTCAAAATGATCAATTTATCTCAAAAGCCTTCAAACACTGAAGTGACCAAAGCTCATCAAGCCACAAGAAACAAATCAGCTAGAATTCAAATCCCTATTTTCAGTTCAGTTCAGAGAAACAATTTCACAAAGCGAGATTTCTCTCGTTACAAATTTGGTTTAGCACAAAGCAAGTCAAGCAGAGTCAGGGTTTTTCACAAATATGAAAACCTTAACAAATTTACAGAAAGCCTTGGTCAAGCAGAATAGGCACCATAGCGCAGTACCAGCTCAGTGACCATCAATCTAGCCACTTCTGTCCCCTTCAGACTGGAGAGGCCTCAATTTTGCCAGTTCAGCAAGCCTTTCATGGCTCGAAATAAATTGAAGCTCTGCCAAACTCAAACGTTAGTATTGATTTTCAGCTGAAACTCATCAGTTGAAGGTGTTGACGATCCAATCTAGCACAGACACAGCCAATCCAGCCTAGTTCAAAGTAGCTACCTAGGTAGAAATCGAAGTCCAACATCCTGTTGTCATTTCCGGAGTTGCCATTTTGCTTTTTAAGTCCTGTAACAGGCAGTTCTGCCTAAAACAGTTTGTCTTCTTTTCATTTATTCTGGCCAAAACTACCAATTTTGTACTGTGAAAAATTGTGAAGTCCTCACCAATCTGAGGCAAGAAAAGGACTTACTTGGGAGATATTCCTCACCCAAATTCACAATTGCTTGTTTAAAAGTTAGTAACTTGAGGCGCAAGTTATCCATTTTTTAGAAGTCTGCGAGGGTTTTGAACTGCTAGTAGTGGCACGCTCACGCACAAAAGAAATTTGGCTTGTTGACCACCAATGGTTGTCAAGCCAATGGGGAACTTTACCTTACCATCACATGATTAAAATCAAAACGAGTGAACAAGACTGTGTTGGGTTGTTAACCATCGCTTGATGGAAATTTGAGAAGTTATTTTATGTTAGTTACGGTGGAAATGCATAATTTAGTTTGAGTTCATTATTTGTTATGATAATCTCATTATCCGACTTAAGAGCTTCACTGGTGGTTCCATTTGAAATTATTGAAGTCCTAGTTTGTAAATTGCTTGAAGGTTAACTTGTGCATACTGATTGTTTGGGATTTTAGAATTGTGTTATTTACAAGTGGAAAGTTATTGGGAAAAGAGCAAATTACAAGAGAGACTGCCGAATTTTTGACAGAAGTCAAACCTTAAAAGAAATTCGAGTCAAAGTTAAAAGGGAAATTTGGTTAAATGTGCTTGGCACCTACCAAGTGTCGAACACGCATAGAGTTCGACTCTGATTTCAAAGTGGAATTTGGGTCGGGGCCAGTCACGAAATGTTTAGAGTCTAGGGTTGGGGCTCGAGAAACACCCTACTATAATTATTCATGACCTAATGGTACCAAACGATAATAGCTGCAATGTGATCGAGCAAATGCGGATACGAATGAATTTCACAGGAGTTGTTTAAAGTACCAACATTATGCTCACCTTCAAATGCAGTTGACAGGTAAATAACACACATGTAGAGTATACATCCCACACACCTTGGTCTCTCCTTTAAAGGTATAAGCAAAGCCAACTACCAAGCCAAAAAAGGGGCTTGGGTGCTTAAGCCTTTCCTTTTTTGTACAACACTTCAAAATTTCAAACAAAAAATTAAAAAATTGCTGTCATCTGGGTCAAAAGTTGCCAATGCAACACGGTTGAATCATGTATTTCGCTCAGTAGAAATTCTGATGATTCTTCAGAAAGTCAGAACAAGTTCCAGAGGTTCATAAGATAGCCGCTGGTCAGCATATAAATCTCACTGTGGTATCATGGCAGTTCCATCTTCGTCCTCAGGAAGGAATACAATCTCATAGCAAAATCTGGAAAAAAACAAAACAAAACAAAACAAAACGCAATCATTCAGCATATCATCTTCAGTCCAACACTCAACGGGAAAACCAATCTACATCGGAATAAGCTACATTAACAGAATTACTTCAAACAAAACCCATGAGATTCATGCAGTTTACAGAAAATGATGGTATGTCTTTAATTCGTCTGTATCTGATGAACAAAAAGATAGGGCAGGGGCAAGTGCATTGCAATGAGTTAACTTCTAATTTGTTTGGTGCTCCCCTAATCACAGTCATCATTCCTTAGTTAACACCAAGAAAAGATAATGACCTTTAACCTAAAATGCAATTACAACCAAATCAAAGCATCAAACAGCCAACTTCCTATCTATTTTTGTTTTTAAGTTAAAATTAAAACAAATGCCTTTAAATTTTGGAAAAAGGATAACACTTGGCTAAAGCTAGTTACAATTGCATCTATCTTTCTCCAGGTATAGCGAAACCAGTCATTTTCATCATCATACATACAGACGTGTATTGCAGATTTTTGTTAGAAGTGGTCAAGTGCATTGCACATGACAAGTATTATCAAGAGCATTCTGTCCTTCCTGCAATTGCAGAGCATTTGAAAAGGATTTCAAGGGTTGGGATGGAAGAGGGATGGAAAAACATTCCCTTGATTTGGTGGTCGCATGCAATGCAGAAGACCATCTTAACAGAAGTTAAACGCTGTCCTTACTAAACACACATTGAAAGTTTGAGATTCAAAATGATCGCTATGAAGTGCATGGACCAAAATGAATCGCGGGTCAAAGTTAATGGACGTATGTAATTTGCGCTTAAAATTTCCTTCCTATCAATTAGGTTCAGCAAACCGAGCCTCTATTTCTCTCTAGTACTATTATACCCAAACATGAAAACAGGCATAAAGTAAACAAGGATGGACAATAATTTCGCACAAGCTTTTACACTGCCAGTAAATTGAATCGCACACAAACACATCAAATTTACAGTTTATTATTATTATTTTAAGTAAAACTGAAGTAACATATTTATGGATCCTCATAATCTCATAATCATTACGCAAAACAAGTGATGGATAAGAACACATGCAGCCCCATTTTTTTCTTAAAAGTTTTAAGGATTTCTATAATTAGTAATAAAATCATGTTAACAGAAAATAGCACAAATCCTCCTCCGCAAACTAAACATAAAAAAAAAAAAAAAAAAAAAAAATAACCATCCATTAGAAAACACAAAAACAAAAAATAAAGTCACGAAGAAACACTGTAATTTACATCAAAAGACAACCCACAAAAATTTAAAAAAAACTATAATTTGATTAGTGCACTAAATATAGAAGAGCTAGAAATGTGAGAAATTGGGAAGAAAGCCATTACCATCCAATGGAAGTCGGTCGGTTCCCGCTCGATCTCGGCCGAGTCATCCTATCATTCCCACCACCCGACTTGGGCCGGCCATCTTCCCCATACTGAACCGGAGCTCCAAAATGCTTCTGAACCGGTCTGGGGCGCTCTTCGTTCGCTGCAAAACCCGGCCGTAGATGAGGCGGCACGAACTTGTCCGGTTTCGGCGACAATATCAAGCCCGGAGCTTCCTTGTGCCTCGGAACCGGAGACAATATGGGCGGGCTCGAACCGGTTCGGCCTAAAGGACGAAGCGAGATTGCATCGGAACGCGGATCAGCCCGGATCTGATCGGGTGGCTGCCGGGTTTGTTGAGATGGAGATTGGAGATGGGGTTGCTGCGGTTGCTGTTGCGGTTGAGGTTGAGGCGAAAGGGGCGGTGGGTTGGAGATGGGTTTGGGGGTGGGTCGGGTCAGGACTAGCATGCGGCCATGGGTCTTGTTGTGGGGTGAAGAAATGGCAGAGTAGGAGGAAGAAGAAGAAGAAGGAGAAGGGCCTTTGCTATTGGCGTTGGGTTTGGAATTGGTGGAGAGGTTTTTCTCGTAGATGTGGTTGAAGTTTATGGACGTGAACTTGTTGGTTTTTGCCATCCACCACCCACTCTCACTTCTCTCTTTTATATTTCTTTGGCGTTTTGGTTCTGGTTTTGTGTCGAGAATGAAAGAAGGAAGAAGAAGAGCAGAGGGGATGAGAGGAGATGATTGCTGGATTGGGATGTTTGTTCTGGTTTTTATTTATTTTTCACTACCGCACAGTTTTAGATTGTTTAGGAAAAAGAAAATCTAATGTTAGCGTGTTGTGGGTGGTGGTTTGAGTGCTGACCTGACGTGGTGGAATTTGATGAAGTGACAAACACAAAAGTTTTTTTTTTCGCTTCTTGAAGGACCCAAAAAACCCGAACATAAACGTCAAAACACCAAAATTTTGTGATACTAATTTATATTTAGCAATGAAAAATTGGATTTCTAATTCTTGGGCTATATGTTCATACTTAATTATGGACCTATGATTTTCAGAGTATATTGAATTTATTATTGAAAATTGTTGATGCTCTTTTTGGGTAGAGTCAACTTAAATAGAAGTGGAATGGTGGATAATAGGGGAAGGTGAACACCTTCAATATATGCGTGAAGATTTGGGCAAGCGATAAATATAAAGAAGACAAGATATACGTGGTTCACCATTAATGAATGAGCTACGTCCACGGAGAAGTATATTCTCATTATTGTAATAATGTGTATTTACATTTGTACATGGGGTTAGACTCAAATATAAAGATAACAAGTGAGAAGCCCAGCCCAGTCATCCCCTCCTAAGTGGAGAGTGGTCTCCTCTTATAGGTGAGGGGCAGTCTTCACTTCTTGTAGTTTTTCGATGTGGGATCCTCTTGCTTTGCTTAGAGTTGTGACTTGTGGTAATGTTTCTTTAGCTAAGGTGACGACTGTTTGTGCCTAAATAAATCACGGTCGTCAGAAGGGACCTCTTCTCGGCCGTGGCACCTATTCATGGACTGAAACGACCACGTTTCGTCAGACATTTAGCCTTTTCGAAAGCAGAAGAAAATACGAAGGCAGGATCTTCTCGGCCTCACAACCACGGCATTATGGGCCAAGGCCGAGGTCCATGAAAGACACGGCCGAAGATACTATGGTCAAATCGTCACGTGGCCTCCGGGTCCCACGCCCCATTTAATGAAGTAGTGCCTTTGACCGGCACAGCAAAACCACTGGGTGCAAGAAGCATTTAATGCACGAGGGCAGAAGGAAAGTGATTGAAGTCAGGATTTGGTAACAAGAATCAGAGTGGTTAGGCGCAAACATTCATCAATATATCATACGACCCTTGATTTTCAAGGCGCCGGAGCACCACCTCTGTTATCGCCTCACTCACCCCATATATCATACAACCGTCCCTTTCTGAGCAACGCGCCAGAGCACCGCCTAAAAACCCACCACCAACACCGCCACTAAACGGCCTTGTAGCTCAGGCCGTGAACCTGATGGCCGAGATTCGTTCCTCACTCGGTCACAATCGTTTGATTAGGAGTCGAACGCAAAACAGGTGCAACATTTAAACCATCTTCTACCCGTACCTCATCATCACCTCGACGCACGATAGACCGTGCTGGCACGCCCGCGCACAACCGCATCGCATCCAAAAAGAGGATGTCACGTGTTGACGCACATCCCCTCGGCCCGGAGCACCAGGCTGCGAGATTTGCGACGGACCAACACTTTTGGCACGCCCAGTGGGACCTGTTAAAAACTTATGGTGGAAACTAGGGCACAGGCAAAGCTAAAAAACAAAACAGTCAAAATGACCTCGACCTCACCAATCACTGTCACCGAGACCGAACACGCGGTCAGGACCTCGACCAGCGGTCCGATAACGGCGGATCGCACGGCCGAGTCCATGGGAGAGCAAGCCGTCGTCAAAGATCTGATGGCCGCAATGGACAGATTGTTGGCCTACAGGATCGAAACATCATTCATGGCCGCAATGGACAGATTGTCCTCGGAGCTACGGACGCTTTTTCAGGAGAGGATGCCGGTGACATCGTCCGCAACGCCTCCCAGATCTGGACAAAGAGGCCAAGAGCGCGAGAGGTTCTAGCCCTACGGCGAGAGCAGCAGCCTCGGCGTCTCTGGTTGCACCCAAGCGTCAAATTACGGCCAGCATTCACAGCCGCCGACAAACAGCTAGGGGCAGTCCCAGTCAACATGGGTAAATCCCGGACCGACCTACCCGGCAGAGACGACGTACGACCCATTCCATGCTTTGGCCGTGTCACTGGGGCAAAGCAACCTCGCACAGTCCGCGGTCCAACAACTCGGCCCAGCCCACACCGTGGCCGTCCAGACCCATCCCGGCCCAAGCAACTCGACCGCTACTTCGTCACAGCAATACGGTCAGAACAATCTGGCCGTTTCACCATTACATACGTCGTTATTGCCGTCAGGCTCCCATCTTCAGTACGGTTTGGTCATTCCAACTACGAGCCATACAAACCCCGGTCAAACCTGTGGCGCATATCTAGTACCAGCCAGCTCGGTCGCAACGGCCGAACCTCCCGTTCAAGTGGCCCAGCAGGCAAGGCCGCAGAACGAGGGGCAATAAGTCCCATGGCTAGTCGCGGCCCAGCAAGAGGCACCCCTCAGGGGCTCCGATTCGAAGACGTCCGGCGAATGATCGAGGACGGCCTGGCTCAGAGGCGCCCGGAAGCACCAAGGTATACCAAACCATACCCGCCAGAAATTGATCGAACCCCGCTTCCTCGGAACTACCGGTTGCCAGAATTCATTCTATTCTCTGGGGATGGGCAGACCTCCTCCATCGAACACATAGGCCGCTTCACGGCCCAGTGCGGGGAGGCCGATTCGGACACCCAGAAGCTCCGTTTATTCATTCACTCTCTGACCGGCGCGGCCTTCTCGTGGTTCATAAACTTTCCGCCGAATTCGATGAGGGATTGGTCTGACATGGAAAGGATATTCCACGAACATTTCTACCGGACCAATCGGGAAATAACGGTCGCCGAGCTGGCAATGATGAGCTAGGCGTCGGACGAATCACCTCGCGACTACCTGCAGCGGTTCAAAACGTGTAGGAATTGGTGCCGCACAAACCTACCGGAGAGGGAATTTGTCAAGATGGCCGAAGAAGGGTTGGAATTCGAATACTGGAAGAAATTCCAGGGGATTGAATTCTAGGACATGCACGACTTGATCAACAAAGTGGACCGATACGCATCCTTGCTGAAAGAAGAGGTGCAGAAGAAGACGGCTTCAAAAGGGACTTACTATCGGAATCCCGTTGTCAGCTATGCCGAAGCAAACAATCCCGCAGAGGCCAAGGGCGATGAAGTTGAGATGAGCGCAGCCGAAGTCAGCATAGACAAGTCATTTGTCTGCAAAGGACTTGTCAAGGCCGACAACAGTCGCACCTAGATTCTTGACGCCAAATTCGCAACTCGAGAAACGAAGGCCTACACTTTTGATTTGACTAGGGCTGAGGCAATCTTTGACCTGCTATTGTTTGAGAAAAAGGTCAAGTTGTCCTTCGGCCATAAAATCCCGAAACCTGAGGAGCTTAAAGGAAAGACGTTCTGCAAATACCACAGTTCTTGGTCTCACAACACCAACAACTGCGTTGTTCTGCGAGACGTCATCCAAAAATTGATAGACGAGAAGAAGCTCCAGTTCCCAGAGAAGACGGCCATGCAGGTCGACTCCAAGCCCTTCCCTTCACCTGTCATCAAGATGGTGAACGCCCAGCTCCGGGCTGAATATAGGGAGGAACGCTGACCGGCTAAAGGAAAGGAGTTGTTGGCCGAACCGGGACCAATGCTGTGCAGTCGGTGCAAGTACGAGATCGGTCGCCCCAGGCCGCTAGAGAACAAGAGGAAGGCCGCCGAGCCATCCTAGCCAACTGTAAAGAAATTCGGCGGCCAGTACAACCGACCGCCAGCACGCGGCTGTGTTTTCAACCAATTAGGGGCACAAAACCCCAGTACCTCGGTGGGCCACAAAAACGGAGCCACCCCTAGGCCGCTGAAGACATTCAAGCCACCAGTCGTACCGGACGACCGTTGGTATCACACACAACCTGGGGGCAGCGTCCAGCCGCTGACACGAACCCAGCTGCGGAGAATGCAAAGACAGGCTCAGCAGGCCAGAGTACAGACACCCCAGGCCGAGGGATCCAAACGCCAGAAGAAGATGGCAACCGTAGACGAGCCATCATCCGCACCAATGGTCCACACAGCAAAGGTTGCCAGCATCAAGCCTCTAAGGACATGGCGCCCTCGGAGGGACAGGGATCTTCGCGAAAAGGGGGCCGTTTCGGCCGAGTCAAAGGCCGCAGCCCTGGGGAAGACCGATGAGGGTATCATCGACGTCTACCGTGGAAGGGACCCCTCTTTTTTAGCCAGCGGTTTGTTCTTCCTTAGGAAATTCCATAAAGACCACTCAGCCATCGACCTATACGGCCTGACCCTTGAGAACCACGAAATCGTGGAACTGGCTCTCAAGAACGCTAAGGCAGAAAGACTCCTCATTACCAGGGGATCCGACTCGGCCATTAAGGCAGTATACCAGGCGAACCGAGAGGCCAAGGCAAGAGGGACGCCAGGTTACCAACCCGATCAGGGAAGACTAGAGGATAAGGCCCCTTTCGGCAGGAGCGACTTAGAATACCTCCGCCAGTATTTCTCTGTGACTCCGGCCAATACTTTCTTCGGTCTAACGACCAAGGAGAGTGCCCGGGTGAGTCGTCCGGATGACTATCTAATGGCCAGGGACGCATTGGCGGAAGTTAGGCGAGCCCTCGAGGAAGAGGCCGAGGCCTCGGACCCTCCTGAGACCAAAGCGGCTGCAAACAGAACCCCGGGGATTGCAAGGCCTATGGTCGAGGGCCGCGGCGATCCTTTCTTCGGACATGAGGCCGAGGACGACCTCACATTGGGAATCTCCGACGAGGAATACGAGGGGGTCCTCGGGATGGTTGAAAAAAGAACCCTCGCCGGGAGCGGCTGTAAGGCCGGAGGGGAAGCTAGTAGGGAGACCCAGCAGGAGCCAAATGAGGTCACCATGAACATGGTCTTGGTGCTACCATCTGAATTTTCGGCCCCAAGAGGCCAGACCGACGGCCTCGATAACGACGTGGCCGAAGAACAGCTTGGTCAAAGGCCGAAAACAAAGGAAGAGTTGTTGGCCGTGGCTTTTAACGAGGTAATACCCAGAGACGAGCTAAGCAAATACCGACACCTCAAGCCATTGTATATCTCAGCCCATGTCGAAGGTGTGCCCATATCCAAGGTCTTCGTTGACTGCGGAGCGATGGTCAACATCCTTCCCTGTTCGCTAATGAGGAAGCTGGGCAAAACGAGAGAGGACCTCGTCCCTAGTGACGTGGTCATAAGCAGCTTTGTCGGCAACAAATCTAAAACCATCGGGGTACTGTCGCTAAAAATCACCGTGGCCGATCAGACGAGAGTCGCGGCTTTTTACGTGGTCGAATCCAGCGTAGACTACAATATACTACTCGGCCATGACTGGATCCATCAGTCCGGGTGCATACCGTCCTCCCTCTTCCAACTTTTGTTCTTCTGGGAAGGCCAGAGGGTATCCATACACCCGGTCGACGAAAAACCCTTTGAAAACAACGCTGTGCAAGCACGGATTTACGACGACGACGTCGGATGGGTTGTCCTCACCGGCCACGATGCGAGCGGCCGACCAACCAGGACAACGGCCCAGAAAGTGCTGGAGTTAGGCGCCGAGAATGTTCGACAGGATTCGGCGCGCGAAGTGTTGATCGACCTCACCAGCCTTTAAATGACAGACGAAACCTCTAAGGGAGAGGGAGCAGTGGCCGTAACCGACCTGCTGGAAAGACTGCTGGAACATTGGACGAGGGAATCCTTATAGCCGAACTCACCGATCAACCTCATCGAATTCCTCCACGAATCGGATGAGGCGGACACTCTAACCATTAACGATTTGGAGACGACGCCCACCGAGATGGAGGACGATTACCCCGAGGTCCAGGACCCGTTATTAGAAATAAATGTCGGGACCGAGGCCGAACCACAGCCTCTTTTTGTAAGCCAGCTTTTGAATCCTGAGTTAGTAGCCGAAATTATCGGCCTGCTCCATGAATATAAAGATTGGTTTGCTTGGGATTATCATGAGATGCTTGGATTACCAAGAAGTTTGGTCGAGCACGAACTAAAAATTAGGGAGGGGTTTAAGCCTTTCCAACAGCCGCCGAGGCGATTCTCGACCGAAGTACAGCTTAAGGTCAAAGAGGAAATTGAACGGCTTCTTGAAGCCGGCTTCATCCGCACGGCTCGATACATTGAGTGGCTGGCCAACATTGTACCAGTATTGAAAAAGACTGGGACTTTGAGGGTCTGCACCAACTACAGAAATCTAAACCTCGCGACCCCCAAGGATGAGTATCCCATGCCCGTGTCCGACCTCCTGGTGGACGGAGCCGCGAAGCACGAGCTCTTATCTTTCATGGACGGCCACGCTGGCTACAACCAAATCTTCATAGCCGAGGAAGATGTCCACAAGACGGCGTTCAGATGTCCAGGCGCAATCGAGACTTATGAATGGGTAGTCATGCCATTCGGCCTAAAGAACGCCGGCGCAACGTACCAACGAGCTATGAACCTTATTTTTCACGACCTAATTGGCCGAACGGTCGAAGTCTACATCGACGATGTTGTTGTGAAATCCCCATCCAAAGCTGACCATGTGGGGCATCTCCGACAGGCTTTCAATCGCATGTGGGCACACGGCCTAAAGATGAACCCTAAGAAATGTGCTTTCGGCGTCACCGCCGGGAACTTTCTCGGCTTCCTGGTCCACCAACGAGGGATCGAGGTAGATAAGAATAAAGCCACGGCCATCATGACGGCACCCCCGCCAAGGACCAAAAAGGAACTTCAGTCTTTCCTCGATAAGGTCAACTTTTTAAGGTGGTTCATATCCAATTTGGCGGGAAAGATCCGGCCCTTGACTCCCTTGCTCAAACTGAAAGACACGGAGCGGTTCGTGTGGGGGGCAGAACATCAAGCGGCCCTCGACGACATCAAGCAGTATTTATCTCAATCACTAGTCCTTATGCCGCCAAAAAGAGGGAAACCCTTGAGGCTTTACATTTCGGCTTCAGAGGGCTCTATCGGTTGTCTGCTGGCCCAGAACAACGAATCTAAGCGAGAGCAAGCAGTGCATTATTTGAGCCGCACCCTCAACATGGTTGAACTTAACTACTCACCAATCGAGAAATTATGCTTGGCGCTTTATTTCGCGGCTACCAAGTTCCGCCATTATATGCTTCCCTCGGTCGTTCAGATCATCTCCAAGACCGACCTCATCAAATACATGCCTACTCGGCCGATCATACGCGGCCAGATCGGGAAATGGATGATGGCATTGTCCGAATTCACCTTCCAATATGTAACCCAGAAATCGGTCAAAGGCCAGGCATTGGCTGATTTCTTGGCCCACCACCTTGTTCAGGGGCAAGAGGGGGAGTTGGAGGTTGTGATCGGCATGACCCACATGGAGAAAAACTACTGGACCATGTACTTCGATGGCTCTAGTACCGAGACCAAGTCGGGGGCCGGGGTCGTGATCGAATCCCCCCAAGGACAAAGGTGGCAATTTGCGTTCCAGCTTGATTTCAAATGCACCAATAATCAAGTAGAATATGAAGCACTCATCATCGGTCTTGAAATTCTAAAAGGAATGAAGGCGACCCGTGTCCTGGTCTACGGTGATTCTCAGCTGGTAATTAACCAAATGACCGGGGAATATCAGTGCACGAGCGAAAATTTGACCTTGTACTATGTAACGGCCCTCAATACGGCCGATAAATTTTCTAGGATCTCCTTCGTTTACGTGCCATGCGCCGAAAACCATAAGGCCAATGAGATGGCCCAGGTAGCGTCAGGTGTGAACATTCCGAACAGCGACCGTGACCGCGTAATAAGAATCGAGAAGCGCACCCTGCCAGCTTTGGCCGAGCGGGGAATGACGGCGCAGGTATCATCGGCCGAGATTACTAGCGAGGTCGAAGCGGCCGAAACCGACTAGCGCTACCCCATAGTGAAGTATCTGCGCGAACCCTCCGGCAACCACGAAAGGACTATTCGCTTCCGAGCTCGATGTTATTTAATTTATCAGAACGAGCTGTACTGAAAAGGATCGGACGGTTTATTGCTCCTATGCCCCAGCGCCGAAGATATCAAGGTTATCATGGTCGAATCCCACAAAGGGATTTGTGGCGCTCACCAGTTCGGCGTCAAGATGAGATGGTTGGTCCGGAGGTACGGCTATTATTGGCCGACCATTTTAAAGAACTGCATAGAATATGCGAAGGGGTGCATCAAGTGTCAGATCTACGGCCCCATACAAAGGGTACCGGCCGACGGCCTCCACCCAGTTACTAAACCTTGGCCGTTCAGCGGATGGGCCGTGGATACCATCGGCAAAATCCACCCGGCCGCGTCCAACCAGCACGCCTGGGTTTTAGTAGCAACTGACTACATCCCTAAATGGGTCAAGGCGGAGTCCTATCGGTCCATTTCTAGCACGCAGGTGGTCAGATTCTTCGAAAATCACATCGTCCACAGATTCGGTATACCCGAAACCATCACGGCCGATAACGGCCTGGTATTCGCATCAGCCGAGACTCGAGAATACGCCGAAAGGATGGGGATCAAATTGGTCCACTCGACGCCCTACTACCCACAAGCTAACGGACAGGCCGAGGCAAGCAACAAGGTAATCAAGGGTATCCTCGAGAAGATGATTGAGGAAAAACCTAGGGCGTGACACGACTTACTCCCTGAGGCCCTCTGGGCTTACCGAGTCTCGAAGCGATCGGCTACTGGCACATCCCCCTATGCCTTAACCTACGGTCATGACACCATCGTTCCGATGGAGCTAAAGGTTCGGTCTCTCAGTGTGACCGAACGACCTGGGCAGGAGGAGAAGGACTATGCGTAGGCCATGGCTCAGGAGTCAGAAGATTTGGAGCAATCCAGGCTCGACGCCTATAACCTAATGCAGGCACAAAAACAAGTCACGGCGAGGTCCTACAACAAGAAGGTGAAGCAAAGGACTTTCGCCGAAGGCGACTTGGTATGGCGTGCCGTACTTCCTATCGAAACTAAGGACCCTCGGTTCGGCAAATTCTCGCCCAATTGGGAAGGGCCGTTTATTATAGATCGAATCCTTGGCCGAGACACATTTCAGTTAAGAGATAGGGATGGGGAATTGCACAACTTGCTAATAAATGGCCAATATTTGAAGAAATTTCCCCCTTCATTTTGGGAGACGGCCGAGAATGGGTTATGAGGTTTTGCAATCTGCAAAGATAAAAGAAAAAAAAACAACACACATTCGGTCAGAAGAAAAAGAGGTTGTACTTCATTTAGATTGAAAGAACGGAGGCACGGTTACAAAAAGAACGGCCGGTCGTGGCCGAATGGAACATATAAGCATACATATGCAAAAAGTGGAATACATCCTAGATCTATGAACGGCCACTTCTTGATCCCCTTTGCTCGAACAGGCGGATGATTCTTCCCTAGGCGGTCCCTCCACCGCCTACGGTTTCACTAGCCGCGACCGAAGGCAGAGCCGTCATTCTGGACACGGGTAAGATCGGGTCACAATCAAGGCCGTCATTCCGGACACGGCCAGGGCCGCCACTCGGGACATGGGTGCAGCCGGCTAAAATCAGGGCCGTCTCTCCAGCCATGAGTGCGGACGCCACTCTGGACATGGGTAAGACCGGGTCACAATCAAGGCCGTCATTCCGGACACGGCCAGGGCCGTCACTCGGGACACGGGTGCAACCGGCCAAAATCAGGGCCGTCATTCCAACCATGGGTGTGGACGTCACTCTGGCCACGAGTGAGACCAGTTCGCAATCAAGGCCGTCGCTCTGGCCATGGCCAGGGTCGTCATTCTGAACACAACTGTGGCTAGGTGAAACTAGGGCCGTCACCCTGATCATAGATGCAACCAAGATGCTAGGCCAAGCGGACATGGCCGAGTTGGAATTGTCATACCAGGCCCTTCCATCTTCATCGTACACATTGCGGTCTCTCTGCGGCCTCATACGAAGAAAGATCATTCTCCCCCAGGGCCGGGAAGGAATCTCGGCCACACCACGGCTTTGGCCCACATCGACGTTCCAGAACGAAGAATAGTTGTTGGACAGCAGGAGGGAGAAAACCATTTGGATCAAGCCATGACGCAGGGGTCCGTGGATATGGCTCAACCTTGGTTCTAAAGAAGCTACAAGGGGGAGACCACTGGAGCAGGTTGGAATGAAGGAGAAGGAGTAAAGAGAAATGAAGAAGGCCAGGTTTTTATATTTACACGGGTATGAAACGAAAGGGCATGGTTCTCTCGAGTGACGGAGCGGTCTGACTGCACGTTCGCACGCGCGATGACGTGGCGAAAGCTCGGAAACCGTCATTCCATTTAACGAGACAAACGGCGGTTTGCGCGATAATGGCCTGCGAGACGTGCTTGCGCATTTAATGCGCCGATTGACCTACGCATTTAAAGCGCCAACTTCGATCACGTCAGGGGGAAGGCAAAGAGTCCATCCCTTGGAATCCATTCGGCCTCTGCCCAGGCCGCGACCGAAGAATCCAGGGATGTGGGGGCAATGTTTGTGCCTAAATAAATCACGGTCGTCAGAAGGGACCTCTTCTTGACCGTGGCACCTGTTCATGGACTGAAACGGCCACGTTTCGTCAGACATTTAGCCTTTTCGAAAGTAGAAGAAAATACGAAGGCATGATCTTCTCGGCCTCACAACCACGGCATTATGGGCCGAGGCCGAGGTCCATGAAAGACACAGCCGAAGATACTATGGTCAAATCGTCATGTGGCCTCAGGGTCCCACGCCCCATTTAATGAAGTAGTGCCTCTGACCGCCACAGCAAAACCACTGGGTGCAAGAAGCATTTAATGCACGAGGCAGAAGGGAAGTGATTGAAGTCAGGATTTGGTAACAGGAATCAGAGTGGTTAGGCGCAAACATTCTCACAAAGCATTCTCACAGCTTGAGGTCAGATCACCAACCACTGGACCAGAGCATTAAATGTGTTCCCATGGCCAAGAGTGCAAAGCCCACGATCAGGGCGGTGGCCGAGATTTGCCGAGATTTATGGGGGTCACACCACCATGCTTCACGATCCCAAATGCCGATTTGACTACCCACTTGCCTCGATCAGACTCCACCGTGCATATATTTTCAAGCCATCAGGCAGATCTTTTTTCAGCCTCGATTGGCCTTCCAGGACTCCTCCTATAAATACTAAGCTCAAGACCACGTTCAAGGGGTTCAAACACCAAACCAAAAGCCTCCCACGGAGCAACTTATATTTTCTATAATGCACTTTCAATACCTTTATTTGCTTTCTTAGGAGTAGTGGTAGATTGTAAGGAAAATCCATTCATCAATATATCATACGACCCTTGATTTTCAAGGCGCCGGAGCACCACCTCTGTTATCGCCTCACTCACCCCATATATCATACGACCGTCGCTCTCTGAGCAACACGCCGGAGCACCGCCTAAAAACCCACCACTAACACCACCACTAAACGGCCTTGTAGCTCAGGCCGTGAACCTGATGGCTGAGATTCATTCCTCACTCGGTCACAATCGTTTGATTAGGAGTCGAACACAAAACAGGCGCAACATTTAAACCATCTTCTACCCGAACCTCATCATCACCTCGACGCACGGTAGACAGTGCTGGCACGCCCACGCACAACCGCACCGCATCCAAAAGGAGGACGTCACGTGTTGACGCACATCCCCTTGGCCCGGAGCACCAGGCCGCGAGATTTGCGACGGACCAACAACGACCTCTCAAAACATGGCACGTGGATGATCTAGCATAGCTAGTTGCTCGATCAGTTACGGTACCAACAAAAATAAAATGGAACAATGGTACATTTCAAAAGGAAATATTTTTGCTCACAACTTTAATCTTAGATGTACATGTACTCTCATCATCCCTTTCAACATTTGACATGCGTCTATGGACATAACCATAGTTAACTATTTCATTTGTCTTTGTGTAACTATAGTTATGCCCAATAAACACGTGTATTGAGTGTTGAGAGTACTAACCATTTCAAAATAGGCAAATACATGATTAAGTATATATATATATATATATATGCATCTACATGTTTGTTTCTTTCTTTTGAGAAATCTTCAGCATGGTTAATTTCCATCCTCATGATGAATGACAACAAAGTGACGGCACAAGGCTAATGGCAAAGAAGCTTGCAACAAGTCGTTCCAACTGGAGTTGGAGGTTTTTTAGTAGGCGTGCGACATTTTGGATGTTTCGGATGTCTAATACATCTATTTGGTGGTTTAGTTTTTCTTTTAAGAGCATTAATAAGTTTTTTTAATTTTAAAAGAATCCCAATATAAAAGGGATGACAAAAGATGAGAGTGGATTTTTGAAGGAAAGTGCGATGAAGGAAGAGAAGAAGGAGGTTCTTCTTCTTCTTCATTAGCTTGCGCTACAACCAACAAAACTAAAATTAATACCATTTTAATCTTCATTGGTATTTTATATATGGTTTCCATTTGTATCTTAAAGTGGTTTCTATTTATAGTATTTATAACTCATGCATGAGTCAATACATTTTTAAACAATGAATTTATTATAATAGTTTATCTTTGGGCCGTTGCTTGTGTAATATCCTGATCCTAAATTAATTTTTTATTAAGGCTTATTATCACAAAACGTCCCTAAGGTTTAAGAAACTATCATATTGCATCCTTAATGTTTTTTTGTGTCATTCGTGGCCCTTAAGGTTAGTATGTGTCATCACAAATAGTTCATGCCATTAGGTTCCTTCAAAACTCCGTTAGTTTGCTGATGTGGCATATATCTATATCACAAAACATCCCTGAGGCTCACGCACTTATCACAAATGGTCCCTGCGATTTTTTTAAAAATTTGATTTAAAATTCATAAAATTTTCCTTGCGATTTTTAAAAAAAATTTGATTTATAATTTATAATTTTTTTTATTATTATAAATTTAATGAATTTTAAATTATTTAAAAATATATATTATATTTTAAATACATGTGACACTATATTATTGTAGATGTGGGCTCCATATATATGCCACATCAACAAACTAATGGAGTTTTTTAAAAATAATTTAAAATTCATAAAATTGATTTAAAATTCATAAAATTTAAAAATGAAAAAACTAAGGATTTAGGGTTCATAAATGGTCCTTAAGATTAAAATCCTTACATAAAGGGTTTTTTTCATTTATAAATAATTTGTAAAAGAAAATCAAAATTTTATGAATTTTAAATAAGAAAAATTTAAAAATTTCGCAGGGACCATTTGTGATAGGTGTGTGAACCTCAGAGATGTTTTGTGATATATATATATATATGCCACGTCAGCAAACTAACGGAGTTTTTGACGGAACCTAACAGCAAGGACCATTTGTGATCACATATATTAACCTTGAGGACCACGAGTGACAAAAAAAATATTAATGATGCAATTTGATAGTTTCGTATAGGGGTGGTTGCGGTTCGGTAACCGCGAATTTTTACTCAAACCGCAAACCGACCGACTATTTGCGGTTTGGTGATTTTTGAAACCGCAAGTTCTCAAGCATTCACAAAAATATAAATTTACAACCTAAATAAATAAATACACAACCTTAATTTGTCAAACATATATAAATTCACAATCTCCTCAACTTTTCAAGCATTCACAACCTAAGGAAATTAAAGTTACAATTCCAAGCGTTTCAATTAAAGTTAAACTTCTCAAGCATTCCAATTCCAAATCCTTTAAAGTTACAAACCAAAAGGAAAATGCAAAGCAAAATGAGTTAAAGTTACAACCAAAAAGAAAAATTCAATTCAAAGTTAATTAAAGTTACAAACTAAAAGGAAAATGCAATGCACCAATGTTACAAACTAAAGTTACAAACTCAAGTGTTGGTGGTGAGTGGATTTGAAGAACCTCGTTGTGTTGTTTGAGCACCAATGTTATCTACAAATAAAACAACATAGTTTAGTACATTTTATTATAAGAAGAAGCATAAATAACATTAGCATAAATAAACTAATTACTTACAAGTTGTCATATGTTCCATTTCCTTGTAGAATTCAACCTCATCATCCGTGCGGCTATACTTTGCGGTTTGCGGTAACCGCAAGTTTTGAAAATCAAATACTGCAACCGCAACCGCAAATGCGGTTCGGTTCTTAATACCGCAAATGCAGTTTGGTTTACCGCGATTGCGGTTTCATTGCGGTAAATTGTCGGTTGGTTTTTGCGGTTTTGCAGTTTTTCGGTTTAAAATGCCACCCCTAGTTTCGTAAACCTTAGGGACGTTTGGTGATAATAAGCCTTTAATTAATAAAATAATCACATAAAAGACAATTTTATCCCGAGAATATTTTAATGGGCTTAAAGTTGACTTTTTGTTTGGGAAAGATTTTGGGGAATTGAATGGTACTATTGCGTAGATCGTGACAAGATGAGGCCGTAGACACGTAGTGGGCTCAAATCGGAGTTATAATGAAGAAGTTAAGATCAAAAGAAATCCAGTGGCATAATTGTAATTTTTTCGAGTTGAGTTTTTAAATATCAGAACCTCTCTCTCTCTCTCTCTCCCCTGTCGCAAACCAGAACCCCCCTCCCGACAGTTACATCAACGGCAGTTTTTTCGCCGCCAACGGTGTTGGGACCGGTCCCAAAATGATCGGCTAGCCTCCCCCATCCTATCCCACCCCTTCACCAACGTTAGCCGCCAACGATGCCATCAGAAAATCAAGAAATCCTGTCCAGATGCCTCCGGCAACCAAATCTTGCAATCCAGGTATGCTTTCTCGTCCTCTTGATGTGTTCTAGCTGTTGGTTGTGGTATTTAGGAGAAATTTTTGCTTTTTGGGGGTTAACTAAGCAATAGAAGTTTCGGCCTCCGACTCCGGCCACTTCCCGTGACTTTTTGGGGTAGGTCCAAGAACAAAAGTTGCTCCATTCAATGTGCTCTTCATGTAAGTATAAGTCTTGACTCGCTGTTTGGAGTTTTTCCAATCACTGGAAATTGATTTAGACACCCACGCGCTGATGGTGTTTGGGGCAACGCGTGGGCCACTTTTTGGCCAGTCTTAGGGTCCTAAAATATTCCTCATGTAGTCCCAAGCAAGATGGTATGCTCGGATATGAATTTGGTTATCGTTTGATCGTCGATCGGATATCGCATATTAGGCGTTATCCGGGTTTGATATGTTCGGACCGTTGGTCAACTCCCTTTTAATATATGTTGATGCAGGCACCTCTAGAATTGTGTGGAAATTTGCGGATCAAGAATCGGAGTCCCAGATACTCCGATTCAATAATTCAAAGTTTAGATAAACGATAATCGTCCGATCATGCGATCGTGAGCGATCCAACCGTCCGATTCTAACCAAACTTGCAGGATAGGTTTCGTAAACCTTGTTGAACCCGTAGGAACTCTCGGTTCGTAAATGGGAGGTTGTGGGCCCTGGCCTGGTTGACCCAATTTAGAAAGTTTGACCCTCGATTGACCGTGAGTCTTCCGAGGTAGTTTCACCCTTCGAGAAGTACATTGTTTTAAAAGTGGAATTTTGACTATTTTGATTTTGAGGGTCATGGTCGTTTTGAATATGGATATATGTTTGAGAAGTTTTCGATGCATATTATGAAGAAGTATTTGGAAAAAAT